AACTTGTCTTAAAAAATAATAATAAGCTCTCAACTGCAGCTCTCCTGTTTTGCAAGGAGGGCACCCTGCTGGGCCTGCCTGGAGAAAGGAAGTGGTCACAGTAGGGCTGCCAGGGCACACAGACCCAGGAGGTCACGGTGGGATGCTATCCACCTGAGAGGTGACAAGCTCTTCAGATCTCAGAATTGGTAGGAAAAGAAATGGCCAAGTCATTGGTAGGAAGTTGCCCCAGCGTAACTCAGCGGCATCTGCATGTTCTGATATTTTAGGGATTTTTCTAGAACCACTTTTGCATAACTGTGAAAAGCTAAGCTTAGTTGGGAGATCCTTGCTGAACTCTCTGAATGCTACTTCCTGACTGCTTCCCCCAAGATCTGAGTCTAGTATTCTGAAAGAACCCCAGGTATGCACCTCACTTGAACTCTGATACCAGATTGTCCCTTCGCCCTTGGAGGTCCTAAGGGCGTCACACTGCCTATTTTGTTCAGTCCCTGTTTGCATGCAGCCATGCACAGAGCTCTGGGTAGCCTCCATCCTGAAGACAAAATCCCAAGGACTGTCAGGTGCCTTGCCCTCAGACTGCTGCGAGAGGCGCAGGTCAATACGAAAGCACAGCCTGCCCCCAACTCCCTTCTCCTGTGTGCACACGTTTCTACTGATCTTTAGCCAGGTGCTGTGTTTAAGGAGCACGTGGGGACCCCACCCCCACAGGGATGCCGACAGAGGACTCACAGGCTTGCCAACCTTGCCAGGGCACCTGCTGGGTTAAATGTGGGAACGCCAACCCCTCCCCTGCAGAGCCTTGAATTACAAGAAAATTCAGCTCTAACCAGGAGTCTTGGAGCTACTTGCCTTCGAAGCTGTAGCAGTTCATTTGCATAATGAGTTTTGAAAATGGATTTTAAACTACAGTTAAGGTATATTTTGGTGTTTTTCTTTTAAGTATGTCAGCGTGCCAGAACCAGGGCCGTCTCCACACCCAGAGAGTCAGCAACTGTGACCCGTTATTCTTACAGTTAGTAAGGAGCTGAGCAGTCCAGACTTTAATTTTCCAGCAAGAATAAATAGACCATTATGCTTCCTTTGCTAAGCTGGATATAAAGATCTTATGGACGAAAATGCCATGGATTGTCTTTTTGAACCTGAAGGAATTTTTACTGGATATTTTCTCTCCCTGAATCCACCTCCCGCATGTTTCCTCTGGTGCATTTTTATTGCATGCGTGAGAATCAATATTCCAGATACATGCACAAGTGCACACATTAAAATGAACATGACTTCATTTATTTCCATGATTAGACATTCAAATAAAAGTGCTTGGGTGTCTGTTTTCATATTCATAGGTCGAGATCTGTACATCAGAGGTATTTGTATAAGTGACACTTTTACGACATTCATTTCATTTGCAATATGATAGTGGATCATAAATATGTTACTTTGATGCCACCAAATCTGATTTGTAGCACTTAGCCCCTCACAAGGAGAACACTTGATATTTTATGAAGCACCTTTTCGTCCAAGAAGAGCTTTGCAAAAAAAAAATAAATAAATAGGGCTGGATCCTATCATGTGCGTAAATCACGACGGTGACCCTGGGAATGTCCCCTTTCCCCGTTCGCTCAGGCAAGCCATCTGTGTCACACACACAGGCTCTGACAGTGGACAGAAGTCCACACTTAGTCATCATCAGTCCGGTTCACAGAGCCATCTGGGGACTCCCAGTGTAGGCGGGTGCTGTTCTCAGCACTGGAGGCATGGAGACAGGTGAAATATGGCCCCTGGAGAGGAGAGCTGGAGAGAGCTGTGCGCAGCAGGCTCTTAGCAGGCGTGCCAGTGGGTGCCCATCACACTGCCTCCATGCTCCCTGCTGGGGTCCTGAGGATCTCTTAGTGCCTGTGTCCACCCATTACAATGAGTGGGAAGGAAGCTGGGCCACCAAATGACACAGCAACCCCGGGGCCCCTGCACACCAACTCATGGCTCCCCACAGCTCTGCCTCCTGTTCCTAGTGTTGGCTTCTGGACCCCTGCCCAGAGCTCCCTGGTGCATCCCTTGTACACTCAGCACCTGACTCAACTGGGGTCAGGCGCCCCATGGTGAGGGCTTCCCGAGGCCCTTTCCCTCCCAGGTGGTCCTCCAGCTGTGTGTTTGCTCTGCTGAGCATCCCCGGGGCTTCAGCTTGTTGGGAAACAGGGAGACAGGCAGAGGGATGCGAGTCCAGGTCATCTGGCACTGTGGATGCTCAAAGGTGGGGCTAGGGGATAAGTGGCTGTGTGGCCCCTCTGCCTGCTGGCTGCATATGCCACTGAGGTCTACACTCAGCCAGTCTTAAACAGTCTCCCTGAGTATATAACTGGAATTGGCATGTCTCTCTTAGCCAGGTCCCCATTGCACCTCACTGAGCCAGGATGCTGAGTCATTATGTGCAATTCCCACTGCTGAGGGCCCTGGGCTCCCGGGGGGCCCTTGGGGTAGTGCGTGATGAGTGACAGTGACCTCCCTTGCTGAGGAAGCTGCAGCGTGGCTGTTCCTATTTTGAGAGCTAACTCTCGTAGATGAATATTTATCTCGTCAGAGTACACAGTGCAATCATCTGTAGCATATTCACTTTTTCCCAAAGAAATCACAAGCCCGTGAGCTCTCCACCTTTATCCTCCTACAGCCGGCTCCCTTGGTCCCTGGCGAATACCAGTCTACCTTCTTTGCTTTCTTTCTTCAGTTGCAGCTCGGAGGGATCAAACATTTGCTGGTTCACTCGCAAAGTGCTGGCGACAGCCAGGACTGGAGCAGATCAAAGCCGAAAACTCTACCAGGGTTTTGCAGAGGGATGACAGGGTCTCGGGGATCTGAGCTGCCAGCTCCTGCCTCCCAGGATATGTGTTAGCGGGCAGCTAACAGAGGCCTTCCTGATAGAGACTGTGGGCATGCCAAGCAGCGTCAGTCACACCAGCTTTGTGGTTGAGGAGCAATGCTGCCTTGGGTGTCTTAGAGTTCTCTCGCAAGAAGACCTCAGCAAGGGCATGCTGGGGCCCCCAGGAAGCCCTCTGGTTAGTCCTGGGGGAGCCGCTGGCCTGTTTGCTCACGGCTGTGTTGGGGAAGCACCTTGCCGCTTAGATGCATGCTCTGTGGGAGCTGAAGTTCAGTGATATTGGCAAGTGTTTGGTCCCAGCCATGAAGCTCGTAGTGGCTTCCACACACAGCCCTGAGGCCCCAGCTCCCCTGTCCCTCACTGTGTCCCCTTTGCTCTCTGCCTTGACCCACAAGGCCCTGTCACCATGGGGCTTGCACCTGCTGAGCCAGTGTGCTGGGCCAGCCCTGATGGGCCAGTCTGCTCCAGAAAGGAAGGCATGGAAGGCTGCGTCCTGCTTCCTTCACTGGCGATCTCGAGATGTTCTGTGCCGAAGAACAATGTCATTTCTCATCCCCCAGGGGAGGCAGGATCATCTCCACCCCCCTGGGGCTCAGGGAGTGAAGTCCAAAGGGAAACAGCTCGCCAGCTGCATTCTTTAGCCTCTCTGTGGTTTGGTTTCTTTACCTGTAAAATGGATTTGAATTGCTTGCCTCTCGAGGGGATGGAGGTGCTGTGACCCAGCTCCAGGGCCGTGTGAAAGGTTCAGGCTGTGTCCCCCCTCCTTCCCAGCCGTGGCCTTGCTGCTCGAGTGTGAGCCAGAGGGCCAGGCTGTATGACCTCTTACCCAGCCCACGTGCTCTCCCCTTTCACCTTTTCTTTTTTGCTCTGCCTTCAGCTGCAGCCCCAGGTGGGGCTGGGCTGGGCATTCTCAGCGTGGGGACCCAGAGAGCCACACTTCTCTCAAATTGCCACCGTGCCCTGGGGTTAGTGGCACCTGGACCCTCTCTGGGCAGATCAGATTATGCCCCAGGTCTTGTTACAGCAGATTGCCAGGTCCTGGTGGTGTCACACGCAGCCCAGCGGCACCCAGCCAGGCACCCCCGGGTCCCCAGAGAACAGGACTCCCCAGCATCACCTGTCTGCTTCCCATGGTTTCAGTTCCCTTCCCCAGGAGATCCTAGCCAGGGGCCAGAGCATTGAGTTCCACTTGGATTTCATGATTAATGAATGAATGAATGAATGAATGAATGAATGATGGTTTGCCAGGCAGAGAGTATCATATTGCATCAGTTATTATTTTAATAGCTTTAGAAGCCTGGGTGTTTGACACAGTTGTTAAGACATCGCCTGGGACACCCACAGGCGGTGTCAGAGTGCTTGACTGAGTCCCGGCTGCTGCTCCGGACCCAAGCTTCCTGCTAAGGCGCACCCTGGGAGGCAGCGGCTGAGGACTGAAGCATCCGAGCTCCTGTCCCCACATGGGACATCCCAGTGGAACTGCAGACTCTCAGTGTCAGCCTGGCCCCCCTTGGTTGTCCTGGGCACTTAGGAACTAATAGATGACAGAGATGTCTGTTTATCTCTGTCTACTTTTTAAATACATTGTTACAAGTTTATGTAGTGGCAAGGTGCTGCCTGATGAATGCAGGGTGTTTATGAAGCAGAGAAGCTAGAAGAAGCTGAGGATACAGCCCCTTTGCCTCTCAAAGAATTTCTTCCAAAATGTCAGACAACTGAGAAAACAGAAATGCAATAAAGCCAAAACGTACCACAAGGAAATGCTGCTGGTGGAGCTGCAAGGGCTTTAGGGGGGACCCAGCTCCCCAGGCTGTCGGGGTTCCCTTGGGCTACCTCTGGGGCACGTGTAGTACAATTGGGGGGTAACCGTCCTGGAGAGGTCCCTGTCCTTTCAAACGATCCAGGGAACCTAGAGAATTCTCTGCCCACCGGCTGGCAAGCCTCCACCTTTCCCAAAGACCCGGCTGGAAGGTGCACAAGTTCAAGGGCTACCCTTCCCACCTTTTGCTGCTGTTCCCATTCAGAGCAGCGGCCAATCCCGAGGCTGGGGGCTCAGAGGAGGGGGTTGGGACCTCCTGGACCAGAAAGAGCCATCCAGGCCGTTAATGACCCTGTGCTGTCTTGTTTGCAGCTGTCAGGAATGACAGGAACAAGAAAAAGAAGGAGCCTTCCAAGCAGGAATGCCCAGAAAGCTACGAAATGACAGCCGAGCTGGATGAGCTCACAGAGAAGATCCGCAAAGCTCACCAGGAAACCTTCCCCTCGCTCTGCCAGCTGGGCAAGTACACCACGGTAAGAGATGCTGCCGCCCAGGCTGCACACCCACACGCACACACCACACTACCACACTACCACACTACCACACTACCACACTCACAAACACCGCACACACCTACACACCCACACGCACACACCACACTACCACACTACCACACTCACAAACACCGCACACACCTACACACCCACACGCACACACCACACTACCACACTCACAAACACCGCACACACCTACACACCCACACACTCATACCACACTACCACACTACCACACTACCACACTCACAAACACCGCACACACCACACTACCACACTACCACACTCACAAACACCGCACACACCTACACACCCACACGCACACACCACACTACCACACTCACAAACACCGCACACACCTACACACCCACACGCACACACCACACTACCACACTCACAAACACCGCACACACCTACACACCCACACGCACACACCACACTACCACACTCACAAACACCGCACACACCTACACACCCACACACTCACACCACACTACCACGCACATGCCCACACACACATCCACAAACCCACACACGTATGCACATACCCACACGCCCACACTGATACTCACACACACCCCACACTCACACACCCACACTCACTCTGTGCTGAGCCTAGCAGGGACTTCCCCCAAGCTGGACCGTGGAGCGTGCAGCAGCGAGGTGAGGGTGCACGGTAGCTCCGTCAGCTCCGAGGCCGTTCCCTGCACGTGGCAGCCTTTGCAATAACCTGACGCCGCTTCCTCACTGCAGTCTGCGTGCGTGCGTGCATTCGCTTAAGAAACATGCAACGAGCGCAGGTCTTGTGCTAGATACTGGCAACCTGAACTGTTGCCGTTCTCATATAGTGGAGACAACAAGTAAAGCCAGGACATTTGACATGGGTCATGGTGCACACCTGTGCAGAACCCCAGAGGGACACCTTGCGGGGCAGGGACCAGGATGCTGCAAACACCGAGGCTCCTGGCTCCAGCAACAGGGCAGGTGGAAGAACCTGAAGCCAAGACCCTGCAGGACTCAGCTGGCTAGCCCACCCTGTTCTCCCTCGCGTTTTACTGGGAATGACTCTGAGGTCAGATGGAGGTGAGGGTGGTGGGGGAGGTGAGACAAAAAGGCAGGGATAGGCGTCGGCTGCTCGGGGCGGGGGGATGCCAGGGGCACCCTTGTGAAATGCTGTGTTTTCAAGATGGTTTGTGCAGGTCTGTGTCGCTGCCATGAGTGCCTGGTCGGTAATGCGTATCAGGCACCCAGGAGAGGAATGAATGAATGAATGAATGTTGCTTTGGCCTCTTGCCATGGTTTGTGTTGCTCAGGGTGCCACTTTAAAAGTCAAGTCACATTGGGGCAGCATTTGCTGCTGTGGAGACTGGTGTGAGAGAACAATTGGAAATGTGCAGAAGAGGAAAGGGGGGCGCTAGAGAAGCTGGGAAACTTTGATTGGGGAGTTAGCAGCCCCTCCAGGGGAACGTGCAACAAGGGACCGGTGGGCAAGGGCAGGCCAAGAGTGTTTGCTTGTGGGAGTTGGTGCTAGGATATACCCAGGAGGCTTCTCCCGGGAGCCTGAGGCTGCTGGGGTGTTGGTGCCAACCGCTTAGCAACAGCAGCTTTCCAGTGGCTGGGGTTGGCATCAGGCCTGCGGTTCTCCTGACAGCAGAGGAAGAACCAGGAGCCCGCTCTGTAGGACGATGCACCTGACCATCTCATGGAATCTCACAGAACTGTGTTCTGGCTTGGCAGGCGTGGGTGGGAGCTTCCTCACACACACTGGGACAAGCTGCTGCTGCGGGCGCACACCCCACACCCTGAAGAGCTGGGGCAGGACCTGTTGCCTCCAGTGGCATGTGTCTGTCTGCACGATCTCTGTGCAGATCTGGCTTTTGTTTCTATCAAGAGCATCTTCCAAATCCTTTCCAGAAGTTGGCGCTACATAAATAAAGAAGAGCAGCCATAACGCTTTCCCACAATCCCTAGTTCCGAGTTGAACATCTATTTTAAGAAGAGCTTTTTTGGGGTAGGCAGCTGTTTCCCCTGCCAGAAGCTTCCTGTCCCCTTTGCCAGTAGCCCCCCCATCGGATGCCTTTGGACAAAGTGGGCAGAGAGGAATAAAGATGGCTCCAGCTGCCCACTCCAGGGCTCTGATGGAGTAGCTGCTTTTTCTTCCCTAATGACGGTGGATTAGGGACAAGTGGCCAGTTCCCAGAAGGCGCCCAGAAGGGACAGACATGTGATAGCGTGTCTGTTGACCCCCACACCTGGCCTGGGTGCCCAGTAGGGGGCTTTGGAGCCTGTCTCCTTGAGGAAGTTTCTAATCAAATGGTGGAGATGGATTTCCCAAGGAAGGTCAGTGAACGCTTCAAAATGGCCAGGAGGGACCCAGAAGACCCAGCTCAGCTCTGAGGCTGTTCACTCTGCTTCCTCAGGGGGACACACGTGGCTGTCAGTAGGGCAGTGGTGTTGCCCAGGCTCCTGTGTTCTTGCACGATGTTGGAAAGTTATATCGCCACCTGAGCCGCCTCTCCTTTGTTTCGTGAGCTTTTTAATGGCACCGCCTTCATCGGATTGCCTGGAGGGTCCAGGGAGAAAAATATACCAGAATAGCTTGTAATTTCTAATGCCGAGTGTCACGTGGGCACTTCTTTTCCAAATACCGCGAATGTCCTGCCCCAGAGTCTGGCAAAGTCAGGTGGTAGGAGCCACAGTGACATCGTGTAAATGGTGGGCAAAGTCTGGGCTGCCTGCTGGGGGCTGCGTGGGGTTCCCACGTCCTGGGGCTCTCCCCTGTGCCAGCCATTTGTCACCTCACTGAGCTTGGCAGGACATCAGCTCCCACCCAAGGGCTCGTGCGTTTGTACCTGTGAAGCTAAAGCCAGAAAAATGACCTCAGGCAGGATCGTGAAGCCACCCACAGCTGCTCCGGTAGACGTGTGCTTTGGGGAATGAGGCTCTTGTGAGAACACACAGCTGCTCGTGCCTGGGGCCTCCATTCTTAGAAAAGCCAGATTCAGGTAGTCTTTTGAGGAGATGCAGCCTGGGGACCTGAAGGTCAGTGGGGAGCCACAAGACCCCAAGTCTCATACCAACTCTGTACCTTGCACCTGCTACCCTGAGCCTCCTGAAATGTTTGGCAGCTGCTAGTTTCTTGCTGGGGACCCCACCTGCCCCATCAGGACCACCATAACTACTGTTCTTTGCTTATGTTCCACTACACATTTGCTGTGTGCTTACTGTTGAGGTTGCCTAGGGCTGCCTGCCATGATGCAAACCAGGTAACTGAGGCCCTGTTAGTTCATTCTCTCGGAGTTCCTGAAGCCAGAAGTCCAAAATCAAGGTCAGGAGGGCCATGCTCCCACTTGATCCCCTGGTCTTGTGCAGCTTCTAATGCTCGTGGCTGCCTCCCTGCAGACCTCTGCCTTCATGTGACCCTGTGACCTTACATCATCTGCCCTCTGAGTGTCCTCTGTCCCTGTCGCCCCTGTTTAACTGCACTGATCACACTGAGCTAGTTCTTGTCCTGATGGACCCATGTTGGCTTAGTTATCTCTGTGAGGACCCGATTTCTCAATCAAGTCATTCTCTGAGAGACTGGGTGCATCCTTTTCAGGGGATTGCGTCTCAACCCATTGCGTCTAGTGAGGGCAGAAGGCCAGAGGATGTTACAGCTCTTTGTCAAAGTCAGCCGGAAAAGATAGATGTGAGAGGGCAGCTTCCCATATGGGCACCAGTTCTTGCCCTGGCTGCTTCACTTCCAATCTGGCTCCCTGCTAATGGCCTGGGAGTGCAGCCGAGGATGGCCCAAGGGCTTGGGCCCCTGCATGAGTGTGGGAGACCTTGAAGAATCTCCTGGCATTGGCCTGACCTAATTCTGGCTGTTGCAGCCATCAAGGGGGTCAGAAGACAGATCCAGGCAGGATGGAGAACCGACTGGAGTGTTTGGCACACAAAGATGGGTTTGTTGGAAAGGCAAGGTGACAGAGATGGAGGGAGAAAGAAGGCTGTCCCACCTGCTGATTCATTTCCCCACATATCCACAATAGGCAGCCCCGCGTGCTGCAAGTGTGAAAGGACGGGCGGCTGTCAGGAGTGTGAGCGATGCTCGGGCTGGGGAGGGAGGTGCCCGTGCCGTGAACATGCCCAGTAGCTCTTAAATCTGTAGCTTTTTGGTTTTCTTTTTTTTTCTTCTTCAAAGGCTGCTTGCATTGCCTCCTTAAGCAAGAGTGAAGAGACCACCATGGCAACCAGGTGCTGCTCGTGGTGGGTTTTGAGGACGCTGGTGTACCCACCTCGGCTGTCCTGACAGTCCTGCTCACCAGGACTAGTCACAACGAGGAGGGGTCATATGCATGGCCAGGGTCGCCACTCAGTGGAATGTCATGGCACAGCTGGGCTTTTCTGTGCCATGGGCTGCACAGCATTCTGGGAGGGCAGCTGGGGGCCCCTACCTGGGAGCCCCTTCCTAGGAAGTTGGGAGCAGATTTGCCTTTAGCTGAAGTGGGAGGAGAGTACTAAGCTCCTTGCTCCCAGCAAGTGTCTCGGCTCAGCACGCCATCCCCTCCTGCCCTCCTTCCTGCGTGGCCGGAAATGCTGCTGACACTCCCTGCCCACCACCGGGGCCCAGGAAGGTGCCTGGATTCCCAAGGAGGCTCAGCCAGGGCTATTCCAGAAGCCGCAGCTGCAAGGTAGCGCTGCAGCCATCGGAAGCCCCGTGCCTAAGGATCCAGCACTGGGGGTAATAAAACACTCGGCTATTTCGTGTTTTATGAACTGCCTCTTCCCTTCCGTTTGCATAATAGTCAGTGAGATTTACATGCCGTTCCGCCAGCTGTGCATTATTTTTAATAGAAGGTGCAGCAGGCTTCCCCTCTCTCTCCTCTCTTTTCTCTCTCTCCCTCTCCCCCTCGCCCCCCCAGAGTGTGACATAGTAGCATCATCTGATGCCGATGAAGATTCCGTTCACACTTGCCCGGTCGGGGCAATGCCATTTTTTCCAGCTGGATACCTTCCTGTGACATGCTTCCCCACCGCGTGCCTGTCCGGCCGTCCCTCTCTGCCCTGTCCTCCCTCCACACCCAGGAAACTGCCTGTTACATTTAATTGCATCCCCGGTGGCCAGGCGTCCGCCGTGTGTGGTGTACTCTGCCATGGGTCCATAAGGACACGTGCCCCACTGCCAGCGAGGGTGTGGGTGGCAGCGATGGTTGCCTCCTTGCCCAGGGTCCTTTTGTCACCCGTCAATGGTGTTCCTGATTGATTGATGCCTGGGGACTGGTTGTAGCTAGCGGTGCTGGTTGGAGAAGCTGAGGCAGGTGCCGTGCCTGGGCAGCCTTATGATCTGCCCGGTGGCTGTGCTGCTGGGGACAGCAGATGTGGGAGTCTCGGGCGCAAATCCAGGCCACAGCCCCAGGAGAAGCAATATCCTTGAGCCTCAGCCCAGATCGAAGTGTTGTGCTGGGCTGCTTAAAGCACTCATTCCACAAAACGTCAGTGGATCCTGCTGCGCGCCAGGCCCGTCCTGGGTGTTAGGTTAGTGGAGAAATACAAAGCCAGGAATCAATTGCAGTTTTATTTGCAAAGTGACGAGATGAATTGAAAGAAGAGGGAAGGGGAAAGCGCCCCCCCAGGAGAGGGCTGGGAAGTGGGGTGCCTCTAAAAAGGAGAGAGACACCAAAGGTTTGAAGAAGGGTGTTGGAATTTTTCAGCATTCCCTGACCCATCCTTGTCTGGAGGTGGAAACCTGCAGGTAAAACATTCCCCATTGGTAGTCTCTTAACCAATGAGGAAATGGCTGGGCAATTCCACACCCATTTGAAGGTGTGGCCAAGACTTTAGCAGGCTTGCTGCTAAAATCACTGGGCATCCCATACAGTGAAGAGTGCAAACTGCTTTGTGAACCAGCGAGAGCGAGCGAGGGAGCGTGCCAGGAGGTAAATGCAGCCACCAGCGAACGGGAAGGCTGGCATGGAGGCTGCGCCTGGAGGCGGTTGCGCTTTTCCCTAGGGAACCGCAGGAGCGTGGCGCCATAGAAAGTGACTTTTGACACGGATTTGAAGGAATCGGGGAGTCTGCGATGCCAGGGTCTTGAAGGGGTTGCTACCCATCCAGGGGCTGGTGTGGGAGGCGGAAGCCCTGCTCCACATCTCAGCGCTTCTTTTGGTGGGAAATGACCTCTCAGACCCGTACCCTCTGATGCCCAAACCATGCGCTTGTCAGAATTCTTGCCGTTGCTAAGTGATAAAAGCCAAACGGAGAGGAGCTTCCGCTTTTTCGGTCCTTGTGTGGATCAGGCCTGGCTGCTCTCCCTGGTTCTTTTCATCTTTACTCTTGGCTTTCCTCTGAATTGGCGTCAAAGCCACTCCTGCACCTGCTGGGCCCGGAAAGCTGCGGTTTCCACTCAGTTGTCCCACCCTCTGTCCTAGAATGGCGCCTCATTGGCTGGCTCTGGACCGCTGGTTCTTTACTGGAGCAATCACTGTGGTCAGGAGGAGGGTCTACCCTGGCCACAGTCCGGTGCCCTCCCTGCGGTGTGAACCGAGTTCACCAACCCCACGCAGACCTCGGGGCTGTTACCCATGCGACTCGGGCCCAAGGGAGCTGCAAGGGGGGAGTTCGGCTCCGTTCGCACTGCCGCTTGCAGGTGGCAGAGAAATTACAGAGCGGAACCCAAAACACATTTGCATGTGTTAAGGTCTGCTGCTTGAGACTTTCACCTTGTTCTGGCAAATTCTAAATTGTGCTGTTTGCTGCTCCAGTGAGAAACAGCAGGTTGAATAGGAACGTCTGAAAAAGGTGAAAAGAAAAGATTGTCATTGCTGTGGTCTTACCTCCCACCCTGACAGTGCCTGGGTGAGGGGTGGTGCTAAAATAGAGTTCCACTGAGCAAACCTCCGGAACATTCTGGACTCTTCCAGGGTAGAACTTTTCACTCGTTCACAGTCTTAGAGAGCAGGTGCTAGAAGCCTCTTTTACAGATTTCGAGAAGCCAGCCTTCCTGAGGGAGCAGCACTTGTTACAAGTCCCGCTTGCCCTCTCACAGAGCTGGGGGCGCGGCGAAGTCTGCCTCCAGCCCATGCGCTAGCCAGTTGGATCACCTGGCTGAGAGGCACGTCACACAGCCAGCAACAAAGCTGCCCTGAACCCCTTCCCCGCAGGGTGGCTGTGGTGCTCAGCCACGGAATGGGCTTGCTAGGGGTGTCAGGAGGATGGCCAGGGGGCTTAGCAGGTGAGGGGGCCGGGGCCAGGCTATGGCGCCATGTGGCGATGGGCCAGGAAGTGTGGGTGGAACCTGGGGAGGAGGAGGGAGATGAAGGAATGAAGCACCCAGCTTTTGGACCAAGCCGCCCTCACCACCCCCTAGGGATAACAGGAAGTGTCATTTTATTCTGTACACATCTTAATGTGCTCTAAATGACAGAAACCTCCGTAAACAGCACAATGGCCACACTGGTCCAGCCGCCTTAGATGGGGTTGCCGTCTCAGACCCCAAAGCTCCAGACCGGCAGCTTTCTTTTGCAAGTTCCTTACAGTTTCTCAGTCAGAATTCAGAAAAAGTTATAATTTTTTGGTCCTCTTTGGGGGAGGGGGAAAGATTTAGTTATTTTTATCGGAAAGGCAGAGTCACAGACAGAGCAAGAGAGACGCACAGAATCTTCTAATCTCTGGTTCAGTTCCCAAATGGCCACGGCACCTGGAGATGGGGCTGGAACAAAACTGGGAGCTTCTTGGAGTCCCCCAACGTGGCTGCAGGGTCCCAAGGATTTGGGCTGGCATCTGTAGCTTTTCCAGGCTATAAATAGGGAACTAGATTGGATGTGGACCAGCAGGGACTCAAATCGGCATACCTATACGGCATGCCAGCACTGCAGACAGAGACTTAGCCTACTGTGCCACTGCACCGGTCTCCCACCCCCTTTTATTTCCTTTTCAAAAATTCATTTATTGGGATATAATTTTTCTTATGTTTTTCTTTTTCTAAAGTTTTGAGGAGTGTGACAGAAATATAGTCATTGAGGTGGTGTTGTGGCATAGTAGGTTAAAGTATCACCTGCAAAGCCAGCACTCCATACCGGAGCACAGGTTCAAGAGCTCGCTGCTTCAGTTCTAATCCAGATTTCCGCTGACACACCTGGGAAGGCAGTGAGAGGTGGCCCAAGTGCATGGGCCCTGTCTTCTACACGGGAGACCCCGATGGAGTTCTGGGCTACTGGCCTTGGCCTGGCCCGCCCATTGCTATCGAACTTGGGCAATGATCAACAGAGAGCAGCAGATGAGAGATATTTTCTGTCTCTCTCCCTCCCTCCCCCTCTCACACACACACACACACACAAACTTTCGTGCTTTAAATAAATCTTACAAATTGCAGCCATGGGAGTGTGACTGCAGCCAGGATGTGGAACCTGTTGTCACTCTGAAAGTTTCCTCGGGGTCCTGAGGTCTGTCCCTTGCTGCCCGCCAGCCCCCACCCTGCCCTGCTCTCTAAAGCCGTGGGTGTGCCTCTCCCAGGATGCCCTGTGACCGGGATCCCTCTGGCTGGGCTGCTGGCCGCCTGCCTTCCAGCAGCACGATGCTTTCCCCGCTGTTGCAGCAGCTGGCCCCTCTCCCTCCTGGGTGACTGCCTGGCCCTCCCTGCATGGTTAGACTTGCAGCTCGCCTGCTCATCCCATCACGAGCACTGGGTTTGAATCATTCTTTGTCTGTAGGTTCTCTCTCCTGCTTCCCCTTGGCAGTGTCCTTATTCGGAAACCATCGGTTGGTTGGCTTCGCTTCCTGAACTCTGTGTGTTGGCAGTGGGGTCCCAGCACTATAGTTCAGCTTGCCCCTGGACGTTCTGCAGTTAATTCTGGAGCCTCTGTCTGGTTAACCGTGGCTGCTGGTGGTGACGCGTGTTTCTGCCAGACCGTGTCATAGGAGCTGTTGTGTTTTGTTATTGTTGCTTTTCTGTCAGGATGGCCACATGACAGCTGCCTCTTTCTAAGATTCTAGCAGCCACTAAGGGCCGTTGGCTGGAGCCATTAATCATCAGGTGTGTGAAGTGGCATCTCCTCATTTTATCACTGCTTCTTTATTAGTCGGATTCCTTATCCAGAGAAACCCGGGCTCCTCTCTTGGTTGTCCAGTGCCATCGGTATAAGACCTGGAGCTTTGTGGAAGGGCAAATCCAAGTGAAAACTTCACCCTTCACCCAGAAAATCCCTGACCAGCCTGCAGCTCAGTGCATGAAGAGACACACGGCCACACCGCCACCTGCTCTCAGCTCCCCAGGCCCCACGCCTGACCGTGTATCCTTTCTCTTCCTCTTAGAATTCCAGCGCTGACCATCGCGTCCGGCTGGACCTGGGCCTCTGGGACAAATTCAGCGAGCTGGCCACCAAGTGCATTATCAAGATCGTGGAGTTTGCTAAGCGTCTGCCTGGTTTCACTGGCTTGACCATCGCAGACCAGATCACCCTGCTCAAGGCCGCCTGCCTGGACATCCTGGTAGGTGCCCTCGGGCTTGCCCTGGGGCCAGGGGAGGGTGTGGCAAGGGCTTTGAGGATCTCCACAGCTGGCCCTGGTTTCTCCAGCCTGCCTTCTTGTTAGCTGCTAGCACAGCGAGTTCCACCCGTTCTGTTTGTCTCCCTTCCATTGCTGAGTGCAAAACAGAGCTCTCTCTCACTGTGGTCATTGCTTACATAACATCAGAGTTGGTCGTGGACTATGGGTGCTCAGTGAGGATGCAGAAAGCCGGGCCAGGCCTGCCAACCACCTGTGGGCAGCAGCGGCCCCCAAGGCATAGTCAGGGACTTCAAGTCAGCGTGAGGCTTCCAGATGGCAGGGGAGGAAAAAGCCGTAGGAAGGGGCGTGTGTGATCCACCTGGAGCCAAGGCTCGCGGTGTGTGTGCGCCCAGCAAGGCAGGTTCACCTGTGGTGGCCTGTGAGTCAGCCTGGCCCTGTAGGGGGCGCAGTCGGCAGGGTGTGCCCCCAAGGTGCCTACGGAAGAGCTGCTGTCTACTTACTAGCAGCCAAGCACCTGAAACCATACACCTGCCCCGGCCCGGCCCCACCTCCGCTGGGGGAGGAGCCACAGCTGAGTCCCTGCAGCTGAGGCCACGCCCTGCTGAGGTCCATCTGAGTTTGCCGGTTTCCCACAGTGGCCCAGCAGCCAGAAAGTCTCCTGTAAAGCCAGATAGACTCTTCAGAACCACTGCAGGTAGAATATTCTATTCCTTTCCTTACCCCAGAGCCACAGCATCCTAAGCTTGTCTTTGGGACAAGAGCCCGCGGGACGGCCTCCTGGCCTGCACGCTGCCATGTGTCTGCAGACACTAATGGTTATGAAATTAGACGCCGTACAGGCAGGGACTCTCTGCCTTCCTCTTCGCCCAGCCCCTCCCAGTCTCCATTTCCTCCCTTAATCGCCCAAGTGAGCACTGCCCATCTGCCTCTGTGCCAGGCTTTGAGGAAAGTCCCCACGCGAGGGCGCTGTCTCCTCCTGGTGGTGGCGGGGAGGAGGGCAATCTGCAAGCCAGCAGCAGAGGGTGCCATGGTGACTGCCAGCAACAGGCACCGGCTCGAGGGACCTAGTGGGACGAAGGCCGGCGGGGGTCCAGAACTCGGCACCAGGAGGGAGGAGGCTGCTTGGAGGGGCCTTGGTGACGGCCATGTCTCCTCTACCGTGCGTGCTGAACAGCCCCGGCTACTGCGGGTGGACACCTGGGACCTGCAGGCAGTGAGGGGTGAGTTCGGCAAGGGCAGGAGTGGGAGGCTGAGAGTCGGGGGACCAGCCTTTGGAAAGGTACCTGGCTCTGCTGCTGGGGGTCTCACACACAGACCCTTGCCTCCCAGAGGACGGCAGAGCGCACCCTTTCAGCAGAGCTGCAGGACCCAAGGCTGTGTGCGTGCTGGAGCCGGGAAGCAGGGGGACCCTCTGCCCTGAGCAGGATCAGCTCCGACCATCAGCAGGAGCTGCCTTGCCCAGCCTAGTGATACCATGCCCTGAAAACAAGACACCCGCCTTCCACACACACAGTGTTTTCATCCTGGAAGCGGATTTGGTGCTTGCCACAGGCATTTTTATGTCTTGTGTTGGACATAAAATGGAGTTGTTCAGTGGTTCTCTGAGGCAGCACAGGCTGTGCTCCGACATGAAAGGGGACATTGAGGCAGATCCTTGTGTCTCGGGCTGTGTGCCTGTTGCATTCAGAGCTGTGGCTTTGGGCCTTCCAGAGAGCACGATGACAGATACTGAAGCGCTAACTTACCATAGGACCTGGTCCAGAGGAAGTGTCTGACCAGACACTACTATTGTGAATTGGGGGGCCTGTAACCCACAGGACATGCAGGTCAGACTTTACCAACAGTAGCCGCACGCCCTGACTCTGCAGGACATCATGGTGTCTTCCTGTGTGTCGCTACTGGGGTCCTGCATGTAGGAGGTTGGGCCCCTCACTGTCATCTTAGAGGTCCTAAGGATCTCAGGGCAGGGACGCCCAGTGGGTGATCCTTCCAGGGCATGGGCCCACTCTTGGTTCACGTGGTCCAGAGGACGTGAGAATCACTGGCCAGATAGAATGGGCTTCCCGTGGCAGGTGTCCTGTCCCCAGGTCCCCAGCGCTTCCCTGGAACAAGTCCTTGTTTTAGAGGCCTTGGTGGGAACCTGGGCGGAGTAGCAGGTGCTGCAGCAAAAGCAGCCTCTTCCCCTTCCCGTGCATGTGACCCTACGAAGGTCAGAGGGTCGGCTGGCCCTTCTGATCACACCTGTCTTCCTTCAGGCTACCCCCAAACTGGGCAGCCACGTGCAAAGAACTCTGAGCGCCCTTCACTACTAGGTTGTTCACTCCTGTCTGGGTGTGATGAACTTTTGTCTTTCGAGCAGCCCCTGCTCCTGGGGAAGAGCAGAGTATGGACACCTGCTCCTCACAGGCCCCAGAGCTGCAGCAGCTGCTGCAGAAATGCGATCTGGGTCAGACATCTGCCCTGCGTCGCAGCGCTTGGGAGCAACAGGGCAGTGGGAACACAACCCAGGGTCGGCTGGGACAGAAGCAGGCACTGTTGAGAGGTGGGAACAAGAGTCATCTTGGTAGCAGGTGGCCAGGGCAACTAGCAAGATTGTGGATCAAGGGCACATCTCGTGGGATGGGTTGGTTTCTTGGCCAAATAGCAGGGCGTGGGTGGAATGCTGCCCCTCCCCCTGAAGATGCCTTGATGCCTGGCCTTCCCACCCTCTAACCAGCACTTGACCCAGTGCCCAAAAAGATAAGTACTCCGTAAATGTTTATTTTAATTAAATGATGCATTACCTTTAATGCAGACAGCCATTTCTCAGTTTTCTTATTTATCCTGCCCTGAGTGGCTGTAGCCCCCCGGTTTTGAATTCTGTAGTCTTTCAGTGGAAGAGCTGTGGAAGAGTTCGAACATCTTCAAAAGGGTAAGGCTTTCCCACTGATGCAAGCACAGCCTGGACACTGCTATTTCCTGCCCATGTACGACTGATGGTCTCAACACAGACTTCTGTCAATCACAAATCCTATGTGGGCTTATGTTTTTTTCTTCCAGATTCTTAGAATTTGCACCAGGTACACCCCAGAGCAAGACACCATGACTTTCTCAGACGGCCTCACCCTCAATCGAACTCAGATGCACAATGCTGGATTTGGGCCTCTCACCGACCTCGTGTTCACCTTTGCCAACCAGCTCCTGCCTTTGGAAATGGACGACACAGAAACGGGCCTGCTCAGTGCCATCTGCCTTATCTGTGGAGGTACCAAGTGCCTAGAAACCCCTCGTGGGATTCCACAAAGAACCACCTCAGTCTTGTAATACACGGGGACATTCTTCACTGTTATTGTGGAGCCATTTTGCATAGGAAAACGTGAATAAAAACCCAGGCACACAACTGTGCTTGTATTTTCCCATGTTCTTAGAAGCTGATAGTGTTTAGAATTCTTCTGCCCTGAAATGCCAAAATGTTTGATCCTGTCTTGAAAAAGTAACTGAAGACCAAACTATTATAAGCCACTAGGGACATTTTAATGATGGCCCAAGCTTGCAGGTTCTGTTAGTTAATTCAGTGGCTGGGAATGCAAATTGTCAGCTGGGCCTCCCAGCAGCCGTCGGAAGACCCAGATCAGGTTTGGATTTATACTCTGTAGTGATCCCTGCTGGTTCAAGAGAGACTGGATTCTAAGTAGCTAAAAAATAATGGCTTTAATTATGGGGCAAATTTACCTTTCCTAACTGCCTTAGAGTAGACTTGGTGTAATCTCGTTCCGTAGTGACACCTCCTGGCGGTAAGAAGTAACTCTTTCCTTGGGATAAAACCAGCCATCAGAATGTGCTTTAGACCAATATGAGATGATTTTTCCAAGTATCACTGCTTTGAAGCAATTGCTTATTTTTCCAAATTTGCATATGTGATTGACCCATGAAATTAAAGGAACTCCTAAGACAGTAGGAACAAGAAAACAAGGAAGAGGAGAAACATGGGCGGAACTCTAACCTGGAAATTGCATAACCCTTTCTGTCCCAAGCCTGATTTTCTAATCCTTTATTCCTGGTATCTAGACCGCCAGGACCTAGAGGAACCAACAAAAGTAGATAAGCTACAAGAACCATTGCTGGAAGCACTGAAAATTTACATCCGAAAAAGACGACCCAGCAAGCCTCACATGTTCCCAAAGATCTTAATGAAAATCACAGACCTCCGCAGCATCAGTGCAAAAGGTACAGCGTGGGCCGCGCTCCGGGCGGGCGGACCGAGGGCCTTGCTGGCCGGGGCTGGAGCTGCTTCTCATGCTGGATGTTTAATAGCTGCTAGCTTTTGTAAAGTTCTGAAACTCACTTCTCACTGAACTCAAAAGGAATGAAGTGTCTCTCCTTAAAAGGAAATGAAACTGTAAAATTCTTAGCCTACATAATGATCTTAAGAGAATTTTAAAACTCAGGTGACTGATGAGAAAAACATTGTTTTCAAGAGCGTGTACTGTATGACAGACTATTTCATTTTCTACTTTAATACATTTTACCCCAGCTTTCCAGACAGCTTTGGCATATGTAAATTTGACTCCCGTTTTTCCTGAACATCCAAACCTTAAGGAAAACAAGTGCTACTTAGAGTAATTGTGATTGGCTCAGTTTCTTTCAGTCCCTGTAGCCACTGGTTTTGCGAATTGGCAGACTGCTCTTGTCTTCCTGGGAGGTTTATTCATTCCAGCAGCTCCTGGAGGGCGGAGAGTGATGCCCTGTGAGGTTAGACTAGCTTCCTTCCCTCCTTTCCTTCCCTCCCTCCCTCCGTCCCTCTTTCCTTCCTTCCCTTCGTTCCTTTTCCCTCCTTTCCTCTTTCTTTCTACCTGCCTTTCTTTCTGCCTGCCTTTCTTTCTCTCTCTCTCTTTCTGCCTGCCTTTCTTTCTTTCTTTCTTTCTGCCCCTTTCTTTCTTTCTTTCTGCCCCTTTCTTTCTTTCTTTCTGCCCCTCTGCCCCTTTCTTTCTTTCTTTCTGCCCCTCTGCCCTTCTTTCTTTCCTTCTGTCTTTCTTTCTTTCTGCCCTTCCTTCTGCCTTTCTTTCTCTCTCTCCCTTTCTCTCTGCCCTTCTTTCTCTCTCACTTTCTCTCTGCCCTTCTTTCTCTCTCCCTTTCTTTCTTTCTCTCTGCCCTTCTTTCTCTCTCCCTTTCTTTCTTTCTGCCCTTCTTTCTCTCCCTTTCTTTCTCTCTCCCTTTCTTTCTGCCCTTCTTTCTCTCTCCCTTTCTTTCTTTCTGCCCTTCTTTCTTTCTCTCTCTCTCTTTCTCTCTCCCTTTCTCTCTGCCCTTCTTTCTCTCCCTTTCTTTCTTTCTCTCTCCCTTTCTTTCTTTCTGCCCTTCTTTCTTTCTCTCTCTTTCTCTCTCCCTTTCTCTCTGCCCTTCTTTCTCTCTGCCCTTCTTTCTCTCTCCCTTTCTTTCTGCCCTTCTTTCTTTCTTTCTGCCTTTCTTTCTCCCCCAACCTCAGCTGCTCTGCCATACTGGCTTCGTTCCCTGTCATCCCTGTGCCCCAGCCCTGCAGGCCTTGCACACCCAACTGCACAGTACTTGCAGCAGTGACCTTGCTTAACGAGCGGGGTCCAGTGTGCCGTTCCTGCTAAGAGGTTTCTTGAATGAGACTTTCTGAGTTCATCCCTACCATGAGTTTGAAACCAACAGCAGATAACATTCATAATTACACTGGTTATCACTTAATACTGTCACTTTCTGTAAAAGCTGGACCAGTTTTTTACAAGATAAAAATTTACCATAAACAAAATTTACCTCAATCGTGGAAAGGACATAATGTGCATTGTCCAGAACATTAGCCCCTAGCCCATATGTGGTTCTCGAGCACTTAAAATGCGGCTAATGCACTTAATGGATTTGATGTGGTCAGTGCGGTGCCACATGATATTGCTGATAATCACTCTGCACTATTACACAAGCCAGTTCCTCCGTTTTGTGGATAACTGGTACCCTTTCAACTTTCTCAATTTTAAGATAGCCTTTTCTTGATAAATGGCTGTTTTCTGTACTGATCCAGGTATAAGACTATCCCATTTAAACATGTCACCACTTCTCTGCTCCTTTCTATATAGAAAGACTATTTCAACACTGCAAAATTAGGAGTGTCTTTGGGGGGTTGTGTTGGTACCTTTTAAGATGAGCACCCATACTAGTTGTTGGTTCTGCAAAAGATAGCCAAGTTCAGACAACAATGGGGGAGGCCCTCTGTCAGTACTGTGGCCCTTAGCGGATTAAGAATCGAGACCGATTCTGACTTCACAGTACGTTACTGTGCTATGTGGCGATGCAATCACCAATCCAAACGCACATGTTTGTACAGAGAGCTCCAGTAGTCAACAGCTTTTCAACAAAGATGGAAATCGGCCTGACTTTCCCAAGCCAAAGTCCCATTAGATACAGAGAAACTTGGACCCCTCTTATTCAGCTTAACTTCTTCATTCTAACCAGACTTCTGTTATCTGTTTAAAAGGTGCAGAACGTGTCATTACCTTGAAAATGGAAATTCCTGGATCAATGCCGCCTCTTATTCAGGAAATGCTGGAGAATTCGGAAGGACATGAACCCTTGACCCCAAGTTCAAGTGGTAACCCAGCGGAACACAGTCCCAGCATCTCACCCAGCTCCGTGGAAAACAGCGGGGTCAGTCAGTCGCCACTGGTACAATAGGAGCTTCCAGCTACTTCAGACATTCCCCAGTACCTTCAGTTCCAGGATTGAAAACGCAAGAACAAACATTCTTACTGCTGCTTAGTTTTTGGACTGAAAATATATTAAAACTCAAGAAGGACCAAGAAGTTTTCATATGTATCAATATATATCCTCCTCACTGTGTAACTTAGAAATACAAACTCCTCAACTTCTACAAATCAGCCATTTTGTGCAACCAGAAACTAGCTAAAGCTTCTATTTTCCTCTTTGAACATTCAAGATTGCATGGCAAAGATCCGGTCAAAATGAGTTACCCCTGGTTAATTTTCTGAAGACTCTGTACATACAGCAATGTTCTTTCTATACTGTATGTTTGGTGCTTTCCTTTTGTCTTGCATATTCAACCTCACCAAGATACCCAGGTTATGAAATAGACTACTGTCCACGTAAGAAGAGTTAACAAAAGATACTTGTCTTGCTTCTGTGGGATAATCAAGACATCAAGGTAAGGAAACAGGACTGTTGTACAGTGTGACAATTTAAAGGTATTCTAATTTAGTTAGTATGGAAGCTTGTCCTTGCTCTTTGATGCTCTCCAATTGCATCTTTGTTTCATGTTGCCCAGTAAGTATACAAATCCACTGTACTAGCAGAGAAAATTCTGTATCAGTGTAACTGCCAGTTCAGTTAACCAAATGTCATTTGTCCAATTGTTATTGTCACTTTAAATTGAAAGTGGTTTATTGTTTAATGACAACTACATGGTTTTAAAAGAAAAGAACACTACATTTTTACAGTAATGATAGCCTCCAAGGCAAAAACACTCTTCAGTGTTAACTTTGTGTTTACCTGTACACAAGCCATTAGGGGAATTTCATGGGCTAATTAGTAGGCTGGTCAGCACCTGACCCATGGACAACTAGTGTCCTTCCTGAGTCATGCCTGATACTGGGATTTTTTTTCCTCCAGCCTTCTTGATGCCACGGGGTTTGTATGAACCCCCCGAGGCATGGGCACAGAGTCGGCCTCCTCTGCCCTTGTTCGGTCACTATGAAGCAGAGTGAAAGCTGTAGTAGAGTGGTAACAGATACAAGGGCCTGTTCCTTAGTTCTCATTTAAGCACTAGTGCATTTTTTTTCTTGGTATATTAGCAAGTCTGTGATGTACTTTCACTGGCTGTTTGTACATGGAGATTGTTTAACGATGCTTTCTATGTTCATATACTGTTTACCTTTTTCCATGGAGTCTCCTGGCAAAGAATAAAATATATTTATTTTAAAGCGGCGTGGGAACTTTTACGTTTTTATCTTCAGTAAAGAGACAGGAATACAGTTCCATTTTTTAATGTTTAAATTTCATTTCAAAAAGCAGGTCTGTCGTCTGCGGTCATGACAGTTAAAATCTGTGCTAACGCACGGCAGTCTATTACAACTCTACAAGCCAATCAGACAGTACATGACACTTCAATGAGTAAAAAAGCATAAAACTGCATGTGTAAGAACAAAATGTTAAAAGGCCTACCACAATAATAAAAAACCATCAATTACATCATCACATTAAAATAAGCCAGATGTACAAAAGTCTGAGACAGAAAAAGACAAAGGGACAACACAAGGTATTTGTTAAAATGTTTCTGTGCTCTTTGGGCACTTAATTAAACATTGCAAAATCAACATCTTCTTCGTCAGATTCTGCAAAATATTTTACTTCTTTTCTTGCCCGGCCAGATCGTGGCAGAGAGGGCGGCTCGGAAGTGAAGTCAGCGGGGAAGATGTCCACGTCTGAATCCTGATCAAAAGACGCTTTCTTCGCTTTCTGGATTTTGAAAATCAGATTGAAAACCCCAAGATTAAAAACTATGACTCCTTATACTTACATTTAGGAAGTACTACAAGTAATGGTGCTTTTAAAATTAGCAATGAAGACAGGATGAGACTTAACACTTACCTTCTTGGTTGTCATTGTTGACCAAGCTCTAAGCTCAGAAATGCAACACTTCCTCAAACTAGATTTTCATTCCATTTTTCCAGAAACTGAAGTACATCATGTTATGAAACAAGTATGCACAATTCTCAAGCGAGCATGTTACTCTATTTAAATCCTTATCAAGAATTCAGCAGAAGAAAACACACTCATGCACTGTGTAGTACACACCAGTGTTTCTACAACTGCCCAGGAGGCACCAGGTGGACCAGAGGGACAGCAGACGGGATGGGAGAGGTCAACATGGGAAGCAGCATAAAACTTTAATCACTTAAACACAAACCTAAGTTTTACCGGGGCAAAGGAAAAGAAAAAGGCAAGTAATAGCATCTGATGTCACTCATACGCATAAATAGTGCACTTCTGAAAAAGGGCCAGCCACAGTTATGAAGTGTTTTCATTTTTTTTTAAAGGCAGGCTGAGATGCACAGACAGATGGCCATCTTCTGCCTACTGGTTCACTCCCCACTGCCTGCAATAGCCAGGGATGGGCCAAGCCAAGAACTCGATCCGGGTTGCAAGGACTCGAGTGCCTGGCAGTGTGTACAAGAGGCTGAGTGGGAACCTGAGGGTCCAGGACTCAAAGCACTGGACTAAAGGATGGAAGCATCCCAGTAACTTAACTATGGCACTGAGTGTCACCCCTGGAATTCACAATTTTAAAAGATCAGATTGGCTCCAGTCACACAAATCCAATTCCAAAGCGGTCTGTTAGAGTGCAGTACTACCACAGTGCAATGAATAAGCCAAGCACACTTTTACCCTAGAAACAATCTGATTATGTAAATTTGTTCTGATAACAGATGCAAGACACTGCAACACTGGACAAAGTGACAGTCTAGTTAAGGAGAGCAGGTACGATGAAGACACTGCTCCTTACCTTGCTGGGGGGCTTGGAGGTCTTCCTGCCAGGGTTATAGTCACCTTCATTTTCAGAGCCAGAAGTTTTCCTTTTCCTTGCTCCTCGGCCTTTACCTTAAAGATAGGAAAGATTTTTCTCTCAAATAAAGTGCAGTGTAAGAATGCAACCAAACCTCATATCTCTTTGGCAGCCCCCAATTAGTGGAGCAAAGGAATCCTGCTCTTAAATATAAATGGCAGCAGCGCATCAATCCTGCAGCTGACACTACTAAACAGTATTTTGCAGACACATTTAAACATTTAAAGTTGCAGCAACAAATTTTAATGACCTTGATATAACATTTACATTTTGCATGTGATTCTTGATTACTTTGAAGGGAAACCCTTTAACAAAAAGGCTTCTCAAATGGTAAGTGATGGAAAAGTTTTTAGTATCCAATTTGTCACTGACCCAATACTTAAAGAAAAAATGCAAATTGCTAGGTATGTTTACTCGCAAATTTAGTCATCAGGATAGCATCAGCCAATCACAGAGCCCACGTGTGACAGGAGACAAAGGGAGCGATCTTCTAGCAGCTGCCTGACTCCCCAGATGTCCACCACAGTAAGGGCTGGGCCAGGTGGAAGACAGGAGCTCCCATACACCAAATTGTGTTTCCTTTGGACTCTTACCTCAGGAGTTTTAGACATGTTGCTTTTTGAGAGGTAAGAGCAATTTAAAATAAAATATGAAGATACTCCAAAAAGTTCACGGAACAATGAAATAATTTATTCTGGTGCAATAAAATTTTAAATTTATGCATCTTTTAATAATATATATTTTTATAATATATATTTTCCAGGTACTTTCTGAAGACCTAATATACAACATACATGAATTTCTTATTTTGGGAACCAAAATAAATCAATTCCATTTTCCCAGGAACTTTCTGGACCCCCCCGGTATTTTCCACATGACATACATTACAGGGTTAAGAAGACAGGTCTCACCTTTTGGTGCTGTCGGCTTCTTTGGAATGCCAAATTCTGAATCTGAGTCAGAGTTTACAGTCTCTACCAGCTTCCTCTGTTTGGGTGCTCTCTTAGGATTAGGGGCTGTGTCTGCAGCTCGTTTTCCTACTAAGCAAAGTTCCATTTCATAAGTCAATATAATGTAACAAAAACAATTCCTGCTAGGTGCCAGTGTAAAGGCAAATAGTCTCATACAGGACAAAATACATTTTTGCAACTCTCAAATATAGTGAACAGAAATGAATGCATTTCCATTCAAAAGTTAAAACCCAAAATTATTGCCTTAATGTAGAAATAAATATGAAAATCTTAAATAGATGAAAAGCCTTTTGCTTTGAATTTTGTTTGAAAAGTAGACCTTGTTTTTCAACTTTAACTGCAACTTTCTAATTTAAAAAGCCCAATTTGGCAAAATAATAATAATAATAATAATAATAATGGCTGACTAGATTTTTCTACTTAAAAACAGAACCCCCTGCTGAGTATTCTCAGTTCACCTTCCAGGCTAGAGTTGAGGTCTTGAAGGAGCAACAGCAGGAGCCCTCATCACTGTGGCAGGGCGGCCAGGTCACATGGCTCTCCTCATGCCCAAGGGGCCTAAAGGAAGAGGCTGAGGACATACATTTCCTGCGGCCAGCTGATCAAAGCACCATCTTTCCTTACCACGATTCCCAGGTTTCCTGTACTGTACCACACGTTCAACCATACCAAGCAAAAATGGATCAGGTGACTTGGTAGGATGGTCTGCCTCCTTGCTGTGGACCACTGGAACTACATGGAATCTGAAGTTCCACAGAGGAATGTAGATTGAAATAGGTATTTTTGGATGTTACATTTTGGGAGGAAAACAGATATTTAAGGTTTCTCCTCCTAGAATTCTGGAAATTACACCAGTTCCCTATTCACTATAGAGTGAAATAAAAAAAAAAATGAGCCAGTGAAGTGAGGGAAGCCAGTAGAAGGGTTATCAAGACACCATCATTCTGAAAGCCAGGATCCTTGTATTCACTGATCAGCTTGCCCCAGTCAGTGCATAAAGACAGCTAGAGCAGGAGTGTTAATACTCCAGCCAAGAAATGGAGGGACGGTCACGGCACACTAACGTGCTTACAGGCAACGGACACGGGCGGGTCACTCAGTGTATCAGCAACACTCCAGCCCATGTCGCCACAGTCCATGTCCTGCTATATTCAACACAAATGCACCCACAGTGGTGCTGTCCACAGGACTTAGGATGCGTGAGGAAGTAGCACACATCATCTATTCACTTGCTGTCTTATCAAGGACATGAATTTTGCAACATTGTCTTCCCAATACACAGCACTAAAACTGACCTCTCAGAGTTAAAAATATATTCCTCAGTACCATCAACAATCTCTATAGTTTATGCAATGATTAATAGTCAAGTATAAATACATACCCTTTCTAGCAGCTGCTGTTTTACCAGGAACCTTGTCTGTCTGTTTCGGACCAAATGATGGCGAAAAAACAGAAGCAGAATCTTCTTCATTACTTTCAAATTTAGCTGAATCTAAAATTACAAAGCTTTTCAAAGTAAGATTCTAAGAGACCTCAGTAAACCTGATGACTTTTATTTAGCTAGTGATTGGTCTAAAAGTTCCTATTTTCTGTTCACATGATCCAGAATATACAAAAGTAAAATAATGGGGAAGAAGGGAGGGAAAGGGTGAGCAATGACTCCTATACCCATAACACTGTATCGTAGAAAATAATAGTAAAAGTGCAAATAGAACAATATAACTCAAATACTAAGTTTGCTATACAATAGAAATGTGCAGTGAAAATTGTTCTGAATGCTAATCATTTAAAACAGAGTTGATTAGTAAAATACACTGTTAAAATATGAAAAAGGTTAACTATTTCATATTTACATAAACAACACTGTTAAACATATATAATAGTTAGTAATATCCAGAAAGAGCTTTACTCATTCGTATTTTTAAGTCAAGAAAGCATGGAAGATTAATATAAAAGGTGTGTAGGCTTACTTTCAGCTTACAGTTAGTCAAATCACATTGATCAATCACTTGTCTCCGTTACCAAGCAGGAGCTTTGAAAACATCTACTGGAATCTAAGTAAACATCTAACTGTTCCAACATGCTGCTGAAAGTGAATATCCACACATAAAGGGTATGCAGCAAATACAGGCCTATCTTGTGTGGGATTTTAAAATGCAAGGGTCAGTTTAGTGTTCTCAAAAATCCCACACACAAATGATATACAAACATTTTTATCGAAATTGCTCTTATGATTCCAAATCACTTAGATATTAAGGTTTATTAAACGCAAGCCTTAGACATTCACACTGCATAAAAGGAAAATGTTCTGTTCCTCTTTATCCTCGTTACTGCATTATACTACAAGAACCACAGCTGTAAGCGCCTCTGTACTGCCACCACCTCTGGAAGTTTAGATCTGATCATAGTAAGCAAAATGTGAAGCTTTCTACTCATGAACATTTTTATTATTCAATTGTGACCAAGTGGTTTGTTTGCCACTTTCTTTCCAACACTAAGACATACTGAGAGTACAGTAAGTAACCAGTAAAAAAAGAAACAAAAGTATACATACCATCTTCTGACTTTTGGGAGTATGAAGGAAATGAGAAGAGATTCCCAAAATCCTGACTTTTTTTGTCATGTGAAGATTTTCTGTTGAGGAAGAAGAAAAAAACACCATGAAGAGGACATGACTGAAACATTGGAGTTCGACCCTGATACACTGTATAATACACACTGCAGGATGATAATCACAGCATCAAACTTAATCCACAAAGTTTACTCTCCTTATGTTCACAAATGTGTATATACACACACTGACAAACTTGTCAATACACATAAACAGGCACTTCAGAAACCAAGGGTGCAACATGAATGTAAAACACAAGGTCAAATTACCATTAAGCTACATTCAATGGTTGCCCTGATTGTCCCAAATTGTACTATCAACAAATTATGGCAAAAGCCATGACAAAGAATGATGGCAAACAATATCCATTTATGATCCCTGATTACTGGCAATCAGTTCGACGTTCTTGACCAAGACCAACTGTAATAGGAGTGAAAATATGTCCTTACAAAAGACCTAGTAGTTCATAACCAAAGCCGAGAAAAACCAACCGAGAACCACTGAGTGACTTCTCAGTGCCAGAGGTTGTCCGATTCCATCCCACTGGCTGCAGCATACCCTGTCGATAGTGTTTCCATGGAATTTGATTATCCCATTTGCATATTGCTTATGACTGTTGCCTTGCCACAATGACACACTGTGACAAAACCTGCATGACCTACATTCTTCGAATATTTACTGTTGAGCCCTTTAAGGAAAAAGTTTGCAGCTCCCTCCTGTAAATGACAGCCACATTTATGGGGACAGCTTCAGTTGTAACAATTTTATTCCCTCATGAGGAAGATGTGCCCTAGCCACAATGCTGCCAGTTTTTCAGGAGGAGCTCACTAAGACCTTTGGCAGATAACTAGAACAACTAACCGTAACATTGCTTTATAACTTACTCTGGTGTAGCTTTTGATTTGCCTGGTGAAAATGTGTATTCATCTTTATCTAGGCCATCTGAAGGAACAAATTCATCTTCCCCATCATTGATTATGGGAGATGCCTTTACTTTCAACTCTTCCAAGTCATTATTCTCATCATCATCATCATCAGCATCATCATCCTCCTCTTCTGAGAAATCAAATGTGTATTTAGGTCTTTCAGCTAGGAGGAAAATTAAAAATGAACATTAAACTCAAATCTTAGCTTTATCCACATGCAAAATTACCAAACAGCACATTTGAAAAGCGTTACAAACTATCTCTGGAAATATGTAAGGTAAAAGACAAGCACTTAAGGAATAAAAACCAGAAATTTTGGCCTCAGTTATTTGGCAATGTTAACATCTGCATTATCTCTTGCAGGAGGTTATATGGTAATGCTGCATAAACTAAAAGAATATATACTTGGGGCCCTGCCTGGTAGCCTCGTGCCTAAAGTCCTTGCCTTGCATCCACCAGGATCCCATATGGGCACCAGTTCATGTCCTGACAGCCCCGCTTCCAATGCAGCAACCTGCTTGTGGCCTGCGAAAGCAGTCAAGGTTGGTCCAAAGCCTTGAGACCTTAAATCCTCATGGGTGACCCAGAAGAAGCTCCTGGCTTTGGAGTGGCTCAGCTCCGGCTATTGTGACCACTTGAGAAATGAATCAATGGACAGATCTTCTCTGTCTCTCCTCCTCTCTGTATATCTGACTTTGCAATAAAAATAAAAATCTTGAAAAAAAAATTTTACACTGGTGAAACGTACTGAGAAAGTAGCCAAGGAGACCATGGTACAAATGATAAATACTTTCTATTTATGTGATTACAAATGACACATTTTACAATTCATCAAGAAGCACTAAACTTTCTCTGAACCTTGGATAAAAACTTAAACCTGGCTGTGAAGAGAATATAAAGACAGTCATCTTTCAGATGAATAACAAAAATAAAACCTAAGACTTCAAAATATCAAATAATTTAATAGAATGCATTCAAAGCCATCAATTATGGGAAAAGACGTACTAGTACAATGTGAATATAATTTGATTTCTAACAATACAATTTAAAAACTGGAGGATACGTAACTTTACACTTTGCTTTTAATGTATGAAATAGCTCATATAACCTATGGTATAACTTGCTAAAAATATGCCTGTGAAATAATACTTCTATGGACATTACGATAAAGAAATGTAATCACTTAATGACTAAAGAGCCCAAGAACTTAAGGTCTGACATAATTAAAAGTTATTTCTTATATCAGGATTTTAATCAACTAAAGAAATTCACACTCTGTTGGAACACTCTGATATCAAAAGGGATCAAGCCACATGCTTAGCCACAAAATAAGGTAACAGAATGGTATTCTGTAGTCTAACCTTACCATTGAGGTTATCTAAAACAGACTTATGTATATGCAATCCAACTGGCTGAAGCAGGAAAAATTACAAGAAGTCTGATACAAAGAACAAAAGAACAAAACACTTTCTGCTAGATCCACATGGCTGGTATCTTTCAAACTATAGAGTACAAAGAACAGCTTTATAATACAGATAAGAAAACGATTAATTTTGAAGAAGTTGTATAGCAGTGTTTTTCATCTTCCTAACTGAAATTTCTTCAACAGCAGTGACTTCAGTATTTAGCAACATTGGTAATATTGACAACAACCTGTACATCAGACTACAATACACAGTAATGGAAATAGAAAATGCATCACGAACCAGCTGCTCTCCTAAGCAGAGAGTCCCTTGGGATAACCACGGGCTCCGTTTCCTCCAGGTCGCTCTCCGACTTGGAATCATCATCTGACCAAGGATTCCGTTTCTTCACTTTCTTTGCACCAGGCTTGCCAGATGATGTGGGTGTCTTTCTCACCCTGGCACCTAAAAGTCAAAGAACAGCAACAACATATGAATCGTGCTTCTACAGGTGTCATCAGGAAAATTAAAACTGTTACAATTAAAAGTCTTTTCATAAAACAATCAGCACTCATAAAAGTTGAAGTTATTTATTTCTACTAGCAAAAAAAAAATCATCAAAATCCGGCTAAGGGGCCCATCGTGATAGCGTAATGGTTAAGGTCCTCGCCTTGAACGTGCCAGGATCACATATGGGCACTGGTTCTAATCCCAGCAGCTCCACTTCCCATCCAGCTCCCTGCTTGTGGCCTGGGAAAGCAGTCGAGGATGGTCCAAAGCCTTGGGACCCTGCACCCGCATGGCAGACCCGGAAAGAAATTCCTGGCTCCTGGTTTCAGATCGGAGCAGCACTGGCTGTTGCGGCTGCTTGGGGAGTGAACCATCGGATGGAAGATCTTCTGTCTCTCCTCCTTTCTGTATTTCTGCCTTTCCAATAAAATAAATCTTTAAAAAAAAATCTGGCTAAGGTCTCCCTAGTTTTTCTCACATATACCAAATCAAACACCCATATAGCAAGTCCTCACCTGGCTCCTTTTTCTCCCTTTTGGGCTTGGGACCTTTGCTGACAGGTGCTAATGGGGTCACTGTGTCTTCTCCGGTACCCTCCATTGTTGTCCCAGTGAATTCTTCATCAAACTCTGTTTTTACTGCGGTAGTATCAAGATCTCCCTGCATGTTAAAAAGAAAATGTATAAGTTAAAATAATGTAAGACCAAAGAGTTGCAGTCAGTGAACAGCATCTTCACTAAGTTAAAAAAAAAAAAAAGTTCTGTTGAGATCCTAACAGAAGACCATGATCACATAAGTGCTTTACTTACTTGCAGAAAATGACATTTATAACAGAAAATTGGAACTGTAAGCAGACGATGAGTACTTAGAAACAACCATAAGCAATAAGAAGACCAAGGTAGGCACTGTGGTACATTTAAGCTGCTACTGGCGAGAGCTGCGTCCCCCATGAGAATGCTGGTACAAGTTCCAGCTGCTCTGTTTCCAACCCAGCTTCCTGCCAATGCATTCAGGAAAGCAGTAGGCTCCTGCCACCTGAATGGGGACCGTGGAAGGAGTTGAGACACCTGCTTCAGCCTGCCCCAGCTCTGGCTGTTACAGACACTTAGGGAGTACACCATGGGATGGAAGATCTGTCACTGTCTCTATTGCTCTGCCTTCAACTAGGTGAAAAAAAAATTTTTTTTTAAGGTTTATTTATTTTTTATTGCAAAGTCAGATATACAGAGAGGAGGATAGTCAGGAAGATCTTCCATCCAATGATTCACTCCTCAAGTGATCACAATGGTCGGTGCTGCGCCAATCCAAAGCCAAGAGCCAGGAACTCTTCCAGGTCTCCCACATGGGTACAGGATCCTAAGGCTTTGGGCTGTCCTCAACTGCTTTCCCAGGGCATAAGCAGGGAGCTGGGGGGGAAGTGGAGCTACTGGGATTAGAACCGGTGCCCATTTGTGATCCTGGGGCATTCAAGGCGAGGACTTTAGCTGCTAGGCCACTGTACTAGGCCCCAAATTTTTTTTAAAAAGAAGAAAGTAGTGTCTGATTATCAAAGGGACTTCCATACCGGTAGCTAACTGTAGTGAAAGCTATCTGCAAAGTAGTTCCCAAACTGAGGCTTTCACATACTAGAAAAAAAATCAAGTATTGAAAGGGCAAAGGGACACATGTCATTCACAGAGAGGTTCTTCCTGACTGTGGAAAAAGAAATCATTGGGAAATAAAGCAGCTGCTCAACAGAAAAAAATGAGTAGTTCTTCCTAAGGGCAAAGGAGCCACCACAGGGAAGCTGCCTTTCCGACCTGGTTCTGAAAGAATGTCACAAGTTTACCAGAGTTAAGACCAAGGAGCCATCCCAGGTCCAAGGCACAGAGGCGTGGGGCATCACACTGTATTTTATTAGTCAGATCTATAAATACAGGAAACAGTTTGCGAGGAGCCAATGAAAGGGAAGCGGAAAGAATATTAAAGAAGAGAAATACAGGGAGGCCTCCAAGAGCCAAACTGCTGTATCCTAGCAACCTGTGTTCATCATGGGAGTCACTGAGGATTTAAAGGACGTGTGTACAATCAGTTCAGTTTCAGAAATATTCTGGTATAAATGATACAGCTGGGGGCCAGCACTGTGGCACAGTGATAACTGCCATGTGTGGCGGACATGCCACACAGACCACATCCCAGCTGCTCCAAACTAAAGCTGTAGGTAAGGTGGAAGATGGCTCAAGTGCATGGGTCCCTGCCACCCAGCGGTGAGACCCAGATGATGCTCCTAGTTTGGCCTTGCTCAGCTCTGGCCATTCCTGCCACTTTTAGAGTCAACCAAAGGATGGAAGCCTCTAGGCTTTAGGTAACTCTGATGTTCAAATCATCTTTATAGACACAGATGCATAACCAAAAGGAATGAAATAAAGGTAAAAATCATGAGACCACTAGGGACTAGTTCTAGATCTCAGAGAAAGCTCAGTAAATTTGACCAAGACAAGAGGGTAGATTTTGACTGTCTTGTAGGTGGGCAGTAGGATTCAGCTACTGATTAAATGAGCAACCTCCCTATTGCCAGCTCCCGTCAGTTACTGCTGATCCTGTTATTAGCTTACATGATGTGCAAGGCAGGTTTTGAGATGAGGAGGATGCATTGTTTCAGACATGCTTGAATTCCAGGGGTTTGGGCACTCAGGTGGCCACACTAATCTGGTTCTCCTGAGAACAGTATAAGGTAGGACACAGATTCAAGAGGCGTCAGCATGAGTAGAAAAAGTTCTCAGCATAGATGTGGTGATCAAGAAACTATGTAAGGGGGAAAGTGGTGGGAAATGAACCTGACAAATAGCAAATGGGAAGGAGAAAAACCATTCCCTCAAGGATCCAGGAAAGTTTGCACAACTAAACGAACCATGCAGGATAGGGCAGCAGGTGAGAGCAAAGTAGTACAGACCTATGTTTAAATGAGAACACCTGCTCCAGTGTCAGAATGTTTCTATGCTTCTACAAACAGCTCCATAGCAAGAACTTTGCAATCTTCAAGCCTAGCTCTTAGGCTCATTTCCCAAACTTTCCACTATATGACCCTACATTCCTAACAACCTCCTGGAAATAGCTATATATCCCTCCTTGGATTCTTAAATCAACTTTTCTAGAAATACAAGCCTGTGTCTTTAGGACCAGTCACATATTTGGTTTCCTTAGCTAAAGATTCTTTCCAGACTTTCCTTCTTCTGGCTAATTCTAACCATTCCTGCTCAAAGACAGGTTAAAATACCATTTAAAAAAATCCCCTGTGGTACTTAGCTGGCTATTGGCATAATATTTGCATAACATTTGTGTAACTAAAAGCAAAATGAATAGTAAAACATAGTTTACTTTAAGAACCAAACCCTTTTCTACTATAAAACTGCATGATATAAAGTTTACATTTTAAAGTTAATACACCCATTCTTTGTTTTTTGCTTAGTCCCAAAGTTTTGCATTTAGAAAGCTGTTCAGTGCACTATTTTCATTTTAGATTTCTAGTTTCATTTTAAAAATTGAGCAGTGGGAAGAGGTTTGGAGAAGAGGTTGACACAGCAGCTGAGATGTCTACATCCCACACGGGTGCCCAAGTTTGAATTCTGCCCTCACTCCTGATCCCAGCTTCCTGCTAGAGCAAACCTTGGGAGGCAACAGATGGTGGTACAGTTCTCGAGTCCTGCTACCCACAAGGGCTCTGGACTGATCCTGGCTCCCTGGCCTTCTTAGAATGAACCAACTGGTTGAAAATCCCTCTCTTTTTGCTTCCCAAGTAAAATTTTTATAATGCTTAAAAATTGAGTTGACTAGTTTTTTTTCTTTACATATATGTGATCTTTAACCAATATGATTTCCTATCACAGTTGAACTGTATTAAATTCAAAAGTAAAGCATGATGTAGGCACACTCTAAAATATTTAAATTCCAGGGTGCAGTTTAGAGAGAAAAAAGCAGAGTAAGGGGCGTGTCATACCTTCTTCTTCTTGAGTAACTTTTTGCTGGCATCTGCCTTCATGGCTGTAATTTCTGGAACAATTCTCCTCCCATAAGGTGAAGGCATTGTCTCTTCCAACTGAAGCTTCTTCACTTTAGGTTTGCCAACTTTCCCTTTGATTGCTTTGCCAGACATCCCAGCCAGAATGTCCTCTCGTTCTTGAGCTTCCACTTTCTGAAGTAGAATTAGAAGGGAAGAGGGGGCAAAGATCACCTTTTCTAAGAAAAGATCATTACTGTGTATGAAACTGAAGTTTTAGTTCACTAAGAAATAGAGCTTTCAACTCATCTATCCCAAAATGAAGTAGTGAAAAACCACCTGAACGTCACCTGAACCTGTTCGACTACCCTCTCATGAAACATGGAGGTGAGGAGCTGGAGCGATGGGGCAGTGGCAACTAAATGACCTGAACGATTCCTTCCAACTCCAGGGTCTTATGATATGAATTTGGAATCCAGACCTCTGATAATCTGGTACCACCATAATCCTAGCAAGTCACACACAAAGGTCTATTAACAGGAACAAAGTTATTCTTTTCTATTGATCTAGCAAAAACAGAAAATGTAACAATGGTTCATAAATTTAAAGTCAGAAAGTATGTAAAATTGGAAGTATGAATATAGGCAAGATGCAACTTAGGATATTCTACATAATAAATATTTCTAATAGCATAGGTTCAAATTACTCCTATAAATAATTACGGATTTAAAGGTACAAGGAACTTGAAGGGTAATAGGCATTTAAGGACATTTTTGTAGCATAATATGTTTATGAAAATGTAACTTTTATAAACAGGAGGACTTAGATTTCACCTATGCCTCTGATTTAATATATTCAGGAAAGTTTAAATAACATCTACTATATATTAGGTATTTAAAAATATACATAGTGATAAAAACAAGAAATAATGAAGACCCGAGAGGATCAGTAATTGCTCTTAACCATGATATAGTTCATCTCAAAAAAAAAAATTAGCTAAGTTCTCTGAACTTCAGGATCCTTCTCTGGTAACAGGCTAATGAAAACTTTCTTCAAACGGAGTGCTGAGGGGAGTCACTCTGAGGATACATAGAAACGCAGGACCAGCACGGCCAACATGCAGCATCGGGGCCGGTGCAGGGGCACAGCAAGCTCATCCCACACCTGCGGCCCCGGCTCATGGGCTATGCAGCTCCTTGCTTACGGCCTGGTGGAGCGGTACAAAGCCAAGCCAGATAGGAGCAGTCACTTCCAGTGTTGTGTTACAGATTAAAGCTATTACTATACTTCAGATAATTCAAAATACCGAAAAAAAGACTGACTATTCCCAAAGAAAGGATCAATGCTTAAGAGGATGAATCACCTAAATACACGATTTAATCAGCATTCAATCTATGAATGTAATGAAATATATAACCCCATAAAGATAATTATTCATTTTTTTAAAATATTAATAATATAAGAAAAATATAAACATAAACCAACGTATACTTATGCTGTGGCTCTTCAAGTATCATTAAGGGAACCCAGGACAACAGAATATAAAAGTTCCGACTGGGTAACTAACGTACCACACTTGCTCTTCTAACTTTCAGTTCTAACATCAGCCATAAAAATAAAATTAGAGCATGTGGACAATAAACCAGTGAAAATGATTAAAAGGGAAAGAGGAAGTAATTCCACATAAGTAATCACTAAAATTGCAGTATTTATTTTGCCACTCGAAAGCAGATGCTATGACTGTTAATCTAATTCCAATATTTTAGGTACACAATTTTTAAAAAGGTTTACAATTTCTTTTTTCAATTTATTTTTACAATAGAATACTACTTGGAGAAACCCAGGTTATAACATGAAAATAAAGATTTCTGCCTCTTTTAACCTATGAGACTCTCATTCCACGGCTAAAAGCAAGATACTTCTATTATACACATACATATGTGTATGTACTATATTAATATACATGAGTGTATATATACACACACACATATACAGATGCTGGCCTCATCTCCTTGCAGGAAAATAAACAGAATTTCAGAAGTTATTTAAGAAATTTTAGTAGAAAGTATTAAAATTTAGCCAATTTTAAATTTCCTCTCTAAATAAATCCATACAACTTTTCTCAACATTTCATAGAGATATAGCTAGAGGCTTAATCCAAAGTCAGATTAAACACCCTCAGAATTCATTATAAGAAAGCTTGTTTCATGAAGATTACTCAAAATGTGTTTTTAATGGAGACCACCTACATCCAGTTCCTCGACAAATGCTGCTAAATCTTCCTTCCAGAGATCCGAAGGGGATTTCCTTTTCAGATCACTGACCTCGCGTCCCTACGATAAAAAGCAGTATGGTTTATTAAGCATTCATTTAAATATGTATAAAGAGTCAATCAATATTTATTTTTGGAAAAAGAAAACTGAGGATATGGCTAACATCACAGTTTCAAATTATTTAACCCACAAAAGTTCATACTTTTGCATCTCTCTGTTTAATCAGTTCTTCAACTTTTTCTTTAGTAAGAGACCACAGAGACATATTTAAAATATAATTAAAATCGGGGCCTGAAGGAGTTCCTGAATCGGAGGAACTATCATCATGCTGGTTTTGTGTTTCTTCCTCTTCTGCTGCCTGTAAAAAAAATACACTTTATATTAAAGTCAAATTAGTGTTGACATTTTCTGAATACTGAGTTAAATATTCTATTAATGCTACATTATAAATGCTATTCTGTCAGGTTGGTAGGGTTAATTTAGATTATCTGCAAGATTACCTATAAAAATGTTTCCTATAAAGAACTGAAAATTTTCTAAAGATGTACAATAAAACCTTCAGAAGAAATGGTATATTCAATCCCTATTCATCTAAGAGACTGGTGAAAAACTGCTTTCCTCAGAGACTGTTACTAAATGAGAACACCTTAAATCTTGAAAGTAACAGAGTGAAACTAACATTTTATATTGCATCTTGAGATTTTTATATTTGTGAAAGAAAAATGTGAAACCAAAGATAATTATTACTGAAAACTATTTTGCATTTTTAATAAATGTATCTGGTACAGGCATTCACTAAAAATATATTCTTATTAAAAATTCTTCAAAGCAAGTATACTTGTGAGAACTCAAAGTTTATTTTAGACATTGAGTTGGGAGCTAAAGAACTGCCAAAGGCCTTCTGAAATGTTATGCATAAGGCCCTTAGAAATAAATGCAACGATAATCTTGTGCAGATATTAAATTGCAAAATACAAAGAATTTCATAAAAGTTGTTTTAGATGGTATCATCAAGATTTTGAAAATTGAAATGGTCATTAAACTTCACATAAGTTGTTTAAAGCACTCAAAAAAATAAAAATGACTGAGGCAACAATATCACTCCATAAAACAAGGAGCTCACTTTTAGTAACCAAAGAAAAAAAGCTTTACATTGTTGTTAAAAATTTAAGTAAATAATGTATACCTGCAAGGTTCAGCTATACTTTAGAAATGCAATAAAAATGTCAAAGCGACAGGCTTCATTTCATAAACAAAACTATAAATTTGGTTATTCAACATTACCAAATAAGGAATGCTGTTCGGCTGGTAAATAAATACCTATATAACTTATCACAGATTTTGTGTTCTGGAATCTTCGAAAATTCCTCATGTAATAGTGCATTTGCTATGAAGTATTTCAACTGTTAGTGTCCTAGAGAACTATACCAGTGGGTCATAAAAACTAGCCATGACCCATACTTCAAACTATTCAATTCTAGGTTTTGATTAAATCCAAATTAATGAATGCTGTATGACTGTATCACTGTTGATGGACTAAGAGACTCAAATCAAGAAAAAAAATTTAAGTTTGAATGATGTATTTATTACTTAAGAAAAAAAAACTTTTAATCTACTGTTTAGCTGCTGTAATTCTAACTCTTGAGCTTTCTGCAGCAGGTCACTTTCACAGCAGCAGGTCTGTCAGCTGGCCACCCTAACGCTAGTGCACACACAGCCAAGGGCTGAGAAGATGTTGATGACAAGATCATCACAGAAACGAAGGTACGCTTTACCCAGGGATTCTACATCCACCAGAAGTGCATCCTCTAACGGCAGATACCTTCATCTTTTAAAGCTAAGCAGTAAAAATAATTAACTAGTAAACTCATGAATTTGAAGATATAATTGAAACACTGATACAAAAGGCCAAATAGTATATAAATCCTAATCTGGAGTTTAACAACAAACCAAAGCATATTGAGAGGAAATTTTTAAAAATTTATAACTCTGCATGCTGCCCATCCTGTCCTATCTATTTTCTTCAGCATTTGATTAAATCTATCATAAAAACATAATACAAACAAAAGCAACAGTTCAATGTAATATGATGAATACATAGAAAAACATTATGGTTGAGAACGCATAACTAAAAAAGCTTTCGTTTCAAGTTAGTCCACATAATCATATTGCTAGATATTAACATTGTTAGTATGATATATATGTAAATAATCTAAGTATCAGAAATTAACCATCACATTTTCTTTTGTATTTCTGTTCTCAATCACAATGTTAAATTGCCTTTCAAAATTTTTTTCTCTTTACATACATCAAGAAACTGTTCCTGAGGGGAATCTCAGTTTCAACACCCCATTGATTGAATTCATATCACTACGTTATGAGCTGAAAGGGATGACTTAAAGTAACAAAACATCAGACTCTTAATCTGAAGTTCTCGGGTTTAAATCTCTAGCCAAAAATGTAAGCCCAGGGACGAGCACTTACGCGATGCTCTATAAAGTTGTACAATAATGAGTATTTTGTCTCTAAATTCCCAGCATTAACCAAACCCAGATCAAGGGCATAGTGTCTGGATGCCATACTGTGACCACAGACTGAAAAGTATGAACTTGAGTGTGCTGCCACTCTGGTTCCCAGATAGTATACATGCATCTCACAGAAATCACCACCACAAACGACACCCTTTTATTGGCAGGCTCAAGGGGACTGAGCTACCTTCTCCGACTTGGGGTCATTTCTCCAGGCCCGGGTGGAGTCACACTGGCCAAGAGTTTTGTGGTGGGTGTGCACGGCAATTTCCTGCACTGTATTTGTTCTGTGGATAAACAGAAGACTTCAGTCTCCAAACAGACAACTCATCACCTTTAGCAATACTAAATTTAAAGTTCAGGGGTTGGGTTTTTGTTTGTTTTGGAAGTTGATTTTAAAAGCTTCTCTGAATGTCTTTTTCTGCAAATGATTACCTTTTCTTGTGCTTCTTTCCAGGCTTTCACTGGGTCAGATTCATAACCTCTCTGGACTAACATTTGAATCAAATCTTTCTTTGACCTATTCTCTATGTGAGGGAAAAATAAAGTTAGGATCAAGAAAAGAGATTCAATTTGTATTTGCTTATATTCTACTGATAAAAATGTCTTCTATTAATAAAGCTTTTTTTCCATTTTTAACTAATCTTTAAATTTTAAAAGGTTTCATCTTACCTATAGTAATTTTCCCTTGTATCTTCTCTAAAATGAAACGGGCTTGATTGTTAAGCTTGGTAGATTCTGCTCCCAGCATTCCTACAAGCCATTCCTTTCGTAAACCATAATAACTTAATCTTAAGTCAAAGAATTCTTTCAGAATGTCTTGCACAGTTTCATATTTCTTCAGACATCCCATATGATCAAAGAGAACCTAGGTAAAACACAGTTTTTGTAGATTATATAATCTGTACTTCTATTTTCACTTAAATGACTTCCACAATATTTAAAACAGTAACATATTATGAACACACAACTCCTAAAAGCTATTGAGTAGAACCAGAACCAGTAAGACATTTCTGTAAATACCATTTTGAAAACCACTAACTACAGAAAGGCCTAAAATATAATTTTGAGCTAAAAATAGCTTCTTTTAAAAACTAGCTATAAAACCATCTAAGGAAAATGTTTCCCCCAAACTAAAAACATACATTTCCCCCATCTTTGACTTTTATAATTACTTGTGTTGTAATTCAAACTTTTATTATCCCTCTACCAGTCTGTCTCAGCACATAACAATGATTTTTCTGAACCATTATGCTATTGCTGAATGTTTTTATCTTTCACTGCATTTTAAATTTAGAATGGAATTTGGGTAGTCTTACACATTGACATAACTTTCTTCCTAGTTTTACAATAAACACAATCATAATTTTAATGAAGCAAATTTGAGTTATGTGGAAATTAAGACTCTACAATTGATTTGTTGCTAGAAGTAGGCATAAGGCACATAAAAGTGTACAATAACCATTCTCTCCTACAGTATGTGTGAAAATAAATACATCTTGTGCTCCAATTCAGATGTAGAAGCATGAGTTGAGAATAAAAGTAACACATCAAAAGTAGAGAAAGGAGTATATACCTAGATTCTTCACCAAATACACAGTGACAAAGTACATTCATTTGACTACCTCTATCATGAAGCCAATTCCAACAAATGAATTTATACCAGGCAAGGAAAATCAAGCAGTAAATGTAAAAATTACCATGGAATTACAAGTAAGAGTAGTTTGAAGCTTAAACACTTTATGTAATCCAGCAGCTTCTGCTTGCGCCAGTTTCTCTTCTGTCATTTTCACCACAAATTTCACAGTTGTATCAGTATGATATTCTTTGTAATCAGAAATTAATGCTGGTGTTTTGTCGGTTCCATTCAGCATAGGTTCTAAAACTTGTTCTTTGTACACCTATAAAAGATTTAACATTAAGTAATTCCTTACTTGCTGTCATGTTCTACAAAAAGTCTTTTCAATCTCTGAAAAACTCTTTACTCATTCAAGAGGGAAAAAACAAAAAAAAAAGGAAAGCTCCACTTCTATTGGCTCCTGCTCAGTCAGTCTAGAAGCAAATGGGCATCTAGCAGTGAGAGAAGGCCTGCAAGGTCAAGGCTCGGATGCGCTCATCCTGCCAAGGGAAGATGAAGTCCCAACAGTACGGAGATTACATCAACTAGAAGGGACAATAGAGGACACAAACGATATTAGATTTATAACAGCTGGTATTAATTGACTTGAACGTATTGATTGCTATAAGAATTTAAATCACTAATCCTATTCCTTTTAAGACATATACAAAATTTTTAAAAAAGACTAACATAAACCATACCTCATTAAGTTTAAAAAGTTTCAATTACTGTATGAGTGGGTAAAAATGTATGCAAGATTTATTAACTACTCAAACTGAGAATCAACAAGGATGGAATAATTCTTACCGTAAAGAACTGCTAATGCAATGCCCTTCGCAGAGGGAGTGCACATATTTAGACTAACCTGTGTCCAAGTTCTAACTGGAAGCTCTGTAATTTCTACTGTGTTTCTATCAACCACAAATATTTCACCACTGACTGCATACTGGTTTTGACCAAGTTCTTGGATTGTGCCTTTAAAGTTCTTGTAGTTTGGAAGCTGCAAGGAAAAACACAAATAACTTAAAAGTCCTGACTTTTCTCTTGAGTGTTACTGCCATATTTGAATGCTTCTCAGTTCATAGGTTGATAGTAACAAACATAACAAATTGGATTTCTCACTCTTAATCATCCCTCTTATCTAGTGACTATATGATCATGAATTCATAACCTGTTAGTATATTCCAATTATCTTCTGAACCTCAAAATCTCACCATTGTACCTAGATTTCTTAGAATAGCACTTCAGTCTGCTGTCCAACCCTTAGATTAATATCCTTTAATTTCAAATTCTTTGGGCCCTATACTGAAAGCCTCTCACATTCCAAAATCAATCTAATTTTCTACTTTTTCCTCTAATGATTTGCCTTGCAGAACCACTGCCTTTCTCCCACATTTTGCCTGAATGTTCTCAGGGCTCTCATTATCTATCCACGCAGCCTTCAGATACACAGCATTCCCATTTATCTAATTTCCCAAGTGAGCCCTTCCATCATTCACACCATCACTATAGAAATCTTGGCCTATAGCATAGTACATTACTACTACTTTTTGCATATTAGGCCATTATTAATATCTTCTATGTCTAAACTTCTGTTTCTAATGCCTTATCTTCATAACATCAATTTTTTGCAGACAGTGCTGACACTGATCTCCGTGTAAGAACAGAGTAAGCAAACAAGCTGTGTCTATCCGATCCTCATACACTAGCAGTATTCCGAAGTCTAGAGCAGCTTCAATAAAACTATAACCAAAAAAAGCACTATGATGCTTCAGTTCAAAATATCTTAAAGTACTTTATTTATAGATAACAGCAGATATTATACTAGACTTAATTTTTAGTTTGAAATACAAAAATGAAATAAAACATAAATAGAAACACATCAACACGTTTATTTATATGATGGATTTGTGGAATTTTCCCCCTTTCCATCTCTGTATTTTCCCAAAAAGCATTATTTTTTGCAACAAAAATATACCTTGATACATCAAGGTAAGAAAAAAGTTCCACTTAATTTGAAAATAATGTAAAGAAAGGGATGATTTTTGTTTTAACTGGAGGTCTGAGAAGAGTACAGTGAATCATACAAAGACAAAAATAAAATGAAAATGATACAGTTAAATACATACAAACATGTTTTCAAGCATCCTTAGAACTCTGGTAAGACTTGGTAATTCAAGAACAAAAGCATGAAGTTAAATGTAATTTTATCTTGAAAGCATTACTCTTTATATAGTTCATAGAACAGAAAGCCTTGAACATAGAATATTTTAAAATTTCAACAATTTTTCCCCAAAAACCTGACCTACTGTTTCATTCCAAAGCTTATACCCCATCAAGTTAACTCTTAAGAAAAGCTTTTTCCATCTATTATGTTCTAAAATATTTCATTACTTTTCTAAAAATAATGAACTTAGTAATTTAAACTGTCATTTGTTAAACAATAAAGGCCTTAAGTTTCAAATAATTACCATCGGATGAGGATCCAGACCATCTAGCATGCGCCTGACGTTATTCACAATCTCCCTGGCGTCATAGTTCGGCAACTTACAAGCCCAGCCAGTACCAATGCCTTCAGCACCGTTGATTAAAACCATGGGAATTATAGGAATATACCATTCCGGTTCCACACGCTGATTATCATCATAAAGAAACTTAAGCAGGTTGTCATCCACAGCCGGAAAAAGTAATCTTGCTAATGAACTAAAAAAAAGGATAAAACAAAAATCAATGGCTTTGAGAAATAATACACACTATTAAAAGAATATTTTTATAGATTTTTGACTACATTTGCTTAACAATAGAATTCGTCAGTCAACCACAGTGCATTAAGCTGCCTGCAAAGCCAGCGTCCTGTAACGGCATTGGCTGGAGTCCCTGTTGTTCTCCTTCCCCCCACATCTTCCTGATAATGTACCTGGGAAAGCAACACAAGATGGCCTGAGTGCTTGAGCCCCTGCTATCCATGTGGGAAGATGCAGAGTCCCAACGCTTCACCCTGACCCAGCCTGCATTATTGGGACCATTTGGGGGGAGTGGTCACTGGAAAAATTCACCTATCTCTAACTTTACCTTTCAAATCAATCAATCTTTTTAAAAATATATAAAATTGGGGCAGTCGTAATGGCATAGTGGGTTAACCTGCCACATGTGACACCAGTATCCCATAGGGGTGCCAGTACGGGACAGACTGAGCTGCTCTACTTCTGATCCTACTTCCTGCTAATGTCCCCAAGAAAGCAGCAGCAGGTGGTCCACGCGTTTGGGCTTCTACACCCGTGCGGGAGATCTGGATGGAGCCCCAGGCCCCTAGCTGGTCATTCTGAGAGCTAATCAGTGGATGGAAGATGGCTCTTGCTCTTACTCGCTTTCTCTCTCCGCTTCTCTTACTATAATTTTTCCTTTCAAAGAAATCTTTTCAATTTTTTAAAAAATCAATTATAAAAAATGAAATAAAATTTATCTAATGTTATCAGTAAATGTGTATTTTTCTTAGGCGTGAAGACAAAACATAGCATTATTTTAAATTAGCCTTAAGCTCCTAAATATGAGCAAAAACTTAAGGATTTTCTATTTTTCTGAATCAAACACATAACCTATTCATCAGACATAAGAATAACCATCAGTTGGAAAAAAAAATCCTACATTCCTAAGGACTGATTGCAACATTAATTCCTAAAACTGAAAGTAATGGACTTCTTCTATTTATGGTCAAATAGTTTACAACAATGAATGACTCTCAGCATCTTTTTTTTTCAGTAAGCAGTACAGGAAATAGGGGGGAAATTACTTGAGAACTATGGATTACAACCCCACAATATTTATTTTGTAAATTTAAAACTATTCTAAAAATGTTCGAAAGAATACAAAGTACGAAAGTCCAGAATTAGTCATAACAGTAATTTGGAACCCTCAGAGAACCAAGGCAAGCATTTTTACACAGTTACAACTCCATTACATATTTCATTGGTTCCAGTTAACTTCCAATCAAGATTTTTATGTTATTATAGAAACAAATGTTTACCTTAGCATTGTGAAAATGTAACGAGGGCTTGCAGCATCTTTGCCACCATGAAGCCGAGTCCCAAACTGGCCAATAGGCTGAAGCAAGTTAATGTTGTTGCTTCCCACGAAGTTCTGAGCCAAATTCACAATAGTCATCATCAAAGCTTGCTAAAAATAGAAACAGAACGCAACATTCATGTTCTAAGTCATCTACACCTGCTCCACAATTTATAGTAAACCCAAATTCTCAATTCTTTCACATGTCCAAAGACCTTATAAAAGGAAAAGCATGTTCTTATATACAATTATCCCCCGTGCCAATGCCTGCAGCTCTCAGTGGACTACAATTCTAACGCTTACTTCTCCATGATGATAAGCAGACATCTCGGCGACAGATCCAGCCAACTGGGCAACCTTCACTTCCCGTTTATCATTCCTCTTGAAACAGGTAAATAACACTTTCCGTTGGCCGGGTTTAAAGCCTAGTTTTCAGAAAGAAGAACACTAAAAAACAGCACTGCAAGGTCTAGTTGTCAACAATTCGTTTAGCAGAAACAAGCTTCCATACATATTCAGGGGGAAAAGATACAGTTCGCTGTTGCAGAATAATAGACCAAAACTGTTATTTGTGTTCCTATAACGAAGTAACAATAAAGTGTTTTTAGATCATTTCAATCTATTTGAGAAAAACCAATCAGCAACTGAAAGACACTATCAATAAAGCAGTCCATTTATCATTTCTTTTTGATGTAAGCCAATAAACCTAGCAATAATCATTTTAGTGTACAAAACGTTCACCACTGCTAACTACAGAATGGTAACAACAAGATTAAACACTATCTCTGGAAATTTAATTACTGCAGATAAAAATTAGAAATATTACAACAACTGATAGGGAAGTATAGGCAACCATATTCAAATTCCTCGGAAAGAGCTCCTTATACACTTCACAACGTGTTGAGAACTTTAAGAGGTCTTGAAATATTAAGCTACACTCTAACACACAAAAAATTTCTAATAAAAGTTTCTAATCAAGATTACTCACCATCAACAAGCGATGGTATAGATCTTTCATTGTCTGAGTTTGAGAACAGAATCAATTCCTTGTTGATGAAATCATTATAGGTCAAATGTTTTGTTGCTGTACCATATAAAAATTGCTAAGAGAAAAGTTACATGGCAATATTGTCATTATTACTGCCTTTTTTCACTCTCCTTACCCCCTCCCATCACCACTCTTTAAGACTAACCTCTGGTAAGCCATGTAACCTACGCTGCCGCCGATCCTCCATAAAATTTGTTAACCATTCTTTTCTGTCATCAATTTTCTTCTTACTGAATGCCTGAAAGATTCCAGATAATGATTTTACATATTAAAAATAAAATGAACTTCATTATAGCAATTTATGAATGAAAAATTACTATTAATTCTTGGGAAATTAAGGTTTTTCAATATTTTCAATAAAAGCATATTTAAAAATTGTGAAAGCAGAACATAAACTGATCGAATTAGCCAGTTTGCACATTCAAATTCTGAAAAGGACTTAATAAGAAACTAAGACTGAGAAAAAAAAAACTATGGAAAGGTTAATTACAATAAACTGAATTACCAAGGTAATGGCAGCGTCATCCTCAGGGCCGGCATATCGAAACAAGATGCGATGCCTTTCCATATCTGCAAAATACTCCTTTGCTTCTTTAGCTGTGCTGGTGCCCAGACCTGCACAACAGTTACAACAAGAGCGAGTGAGGAACACGACCGGTTTCAGATATTAAGTAAACAGCTAGTGTGGAAAGCCATAACAAATGAACCAATCTTGGAACACCGTATCAGTCAACCAGTCTTAACTGACAAACACAAACTAGATAATGCATTCCTCCTAACACAAGCACATAATACCAAATAATCTGATCAAGTCTCCAGTTCAACTACTAGTTAAGAGAACGGAGGCAAAGGAGTCTGCTAAGTGTTAAATGAAACTACAGGTCTACAGTTTACAAAATCTGAGAAATCATATAGAACAAACTAAACTTTTATAAATAAATTGCAAGGGAGAAGTATTAAAAAAGAAGCACTATATTAAAAGATTTGATACTTATCAAATGCAACGTGTTTAAACCCAACTTAAAAATATCTATGAAAATAGACTTTTAATACTAACTAAACACTAAAGGACACTAAAGGTATGACAATTCTTTTGGCGCCACATGCAAAAATGGTTATAGATAATGTCTAATGGACACTTTGCAAAATTTAATTTTTTAAAAATGCAAACCTTTGTAGTATTTTATTTTCCAGGCTTTTTGGTTTTCTATGTGTTTTTTCCACTCATCAAATTCAGGAATACTATAAAAGGAAAGTTCCTGCTTATTTTTGCTTGCCTTAAATTAAGAAAAAGAAAAATTAGTGTTTCTGCTAACCTTTAAGGCAAAAACATAATGTAAATAATACCTATACAATAGTACAAAAACATAATGTAAATAATACCTTTACAATAGGAGTAATGAATTCTTCAAGAAAACCGTGCTTCAAAAGCGATGGCCAATTGTGATGGATAAAATTAATAAGCAGGCCTTTTATATGAGAACCATCTTGATCCTAAATCAATGTTAATAAAAAGTTCCATAATAATTTCAAAAAATAAAGTTACCTTTAACTAAATTGTTAAGTCTATAAACAGCAAAAAGGCAAAATTTCCTTCAAATTCTAGAACTGCACAAATGAAGTATATAGCTCATGGCAAGCTGAATATTTCTGTCCTTCCAAAATTATGTTACAATTATGCCTGTTTTACAGTTCATACAGATTTCACTAACAGAATGGCTTAAAACTGGAAAATACATAAAACATGCTTATAATACCACTTCATAAGGATTGGAAGGAAAAATCTAGAGTACTTGCAAGTTCTCCCTTGACACAGAAATTGAAATTTTTCTGCTTAAAACTTTGTAGAAGCTATATGTGTTGATCAGAAAATTTCGGGTTTTTGTTTGTTTTTTTATAATAGTATGACTCTACTATCAAGTTCTCCAACTCTTTGTGCATTCGCAAATACGCCACCACATAAAATTACTAATCTTCATTCTAGGACCTTTCTGACTGGAATCCATCTCTTTGTTCCCACTTACGAACAGCCTTCGTCGTTGTCATAACACTACACTATACTTGACTCTTCTAACATTTATTACATTTGAAAACACTTTTAAAAAACCTACAAGGCTATAACCCAAAGACTTTATAGTATAAAATGTGTCCATTAATCAATGTTTTTTCCCTATGATATGCTTACAATTCCAGCTGTACTGTCTTTGGAGCAAGTCTCATGAATGTATCAAAAGGACAAACTAACAAAGATAGGAATTTCAAACATCAGGCAACTTCAACCAACCTGATCAGTCATAATCATAATCTTTCCATAACGTAATGTCTTCAAGGATTCTGCATCATCATAACTTTTTTTGTATTGCAAACCAACTATTTTGATGATATTGTTTATTTCTGCATTTTCCATGATCTGTGCAACAAGGAAAATTGTTGAGAGAACATTAGTGTTGAACTTATGAATGGTCACGCCAACAATTTCATAAAAGTGTAGCTGGATATGTACCTGTTTATGAGAAGCTTCCCGCACATTAAGAATTTTACCCCTGAGTGGAAAAACTCCGTATCTGTCTCTCCCAATCACACCTAATCCAGACACGGCCAGTGATTTGGCAGAGTCCCCTTCTGTTAATATCAGTGTACATTCCAGAGAATGTTTCCCTCCTAAAAGAAATTAAAAATCGCATATCCCAGAAACCAGAAAAATTAATACTCATGAACAGAAAAGACTTTGAGACATCTTACATTATTCTTGGTATTAACAGTATATTTTATTGAATGCCCCTCTCCTGAGAATTACCAACATGTAGTACATACAGTGATTTTAATGAAGTAAAATTACATTCTGAAGAGAAACTCACAACATACGTAAGATAGAAACTTCCTGAGTAAATTAAATCAAAATCTTTAACAGACAATAACAACAACAGAACCTTACCGGCATCATTGGCGTCATCCAGTTTGGGAATTCCTTTGATTTTACTGTATTTTACTGATGAACACTTCTTATTCAGCTGAGTCTGAGCCTTAAATTTCACCCAGTTCAGGATACTTTCTACAATGCCACAATTAGAGGCCTAACAACCAAAGAATACTGGTATAAAAATAAGCTAGTCGTTCACACAGTCAGATAAAACCAACAGAGTTTAACAGCATACCTGCGCAGTGTCAATGTGTTTTATGATAAAACTATAAAGGCAATGAGAATGAAATATGCCAGTAAATCTTCCCCAACTACAGTAAAGCTGTCAGGCAGCTAAACAACCTGTATTCTTCCTTCATGCATTTGTACATAATTTCGTTATACATAAAAAATCTTGCTAAATATAATTGTTGAGAATATACAGTGCTTTTGTTACAATTTTATTAAAGTAAAAGTTAATCCATCCTTAAATTTACTGGAAGACAATTTCTACTGATATTTCTAATATACAGAACATGAGTCTTGAATTTTCAAACACAACTAAAAATTATTAACATGAAGGAAACATTAAGTTGTGAGCTTACGAACAGCTTTATTTTGAGATAGCTTGGCATGGAGTAATTCAGTGTTGCATGGTATTCACTCTCTGCCCGAGTATGGACTATATACGTTGCCGAGTACACAAGCTAAGCATTTCTGATTCCAAGTACTAAGAGTTATATTTCATAGTCTGAGGCAGTTAGATTTTATACACATGAAATGATTTTTCAGATTGAGAAATAAAGCAAAGATGTGAAATGTCATACCAAAATTTACTTTGTTCCACCTAAAATGCTAAAGTATAAAATCTGAAATAAAGTCACATCATGGAAACAACTATTTAGGAAAGTATGTAGGATACTTTGTGCTCAGAATTCATTTTGATTATTAATTCTAAAAGCATTATTTCAATAAAACTTCAAGTATTAAAACCAATTTCTGTTTCTGAGAACGTGCCTTTGAAAATACGCCCTGGAATTTGACAAATACATTATCTTGGGTCAACTGTACAGTATTCTCCCATCAAACTATAAATTTCCAAGGGAAGGGGCTTGCCCTACTCATCTTTACATTGCCTTTCTCAACCTTTGAAAGATGCTTCACGAAAACTGAAGTGTTTACTGATGGCACTGCTGAGCAAAGGAACAGAAGCCGACCTTGACACAACACATTACAAGGCCTACTAACTAGCTGCGAGGCTTCAGCTTACTTGGCCTCTCATTTTTGAAAAAACCGATGCAGCCAAAATATGTGCTAGGTAAAATGAAAATGCTTAATATGTAGAACACAGAGTATTTTACTATATCCAGCAAGACAAACACACAAGCAAAAGTCAGTGCATGACGTTAGAACAGAAAAGATGAAACCAAGAGTCCTGAGGATTTGTACACCTGCTCATGGAAAATCTGGGCTTTAAAATGGCAAATGCAAAACTCAAGGCATAGTTAGATAATTCCCTGCCTTAATTTTTGACAAAAAAAAAAAGAAAATCAATGGTTTTATAAAACAATAATGCCTACCCTTTTAGGTGATCAGAATTTGTCTAAGCCTGCCTATTTACAATATAATAAGTGAATCACAAAACCTTTTTTTTTTTTTGGTAATTGAGAATTAAGAAGAAAAAAAAACACCACTGTAAGTTATACTTACTGCTTTAAAAAATTTTTCTGACAGTTGGCATTTAGAGCCAAAACTTTTGGGTTGCAGAGTCATGTTCTCCTTAGTTTGAGAATCAAAAGTTGGATTTTCGATAAGGCAATTTACAAAAACCCAGATGTGGTTTTTAACCTATCAAAAAAAGTACCAAAAAGAGAAGGTCAATAGCAAAACTGGTAGGTAATAGGTTGGGAGAGTATAGACAGTCTCACTCACTTGGAATGGTTTCACTGATACACCAGCCTTGTTCTTTTTCTTAACCACTTCAATCAGTTTGCCAACAACTTGATCTACCACGTAGTCTACGTGCCGTCCACCCTAAAGAGAGGGAAGAAAATGAATCCAAAATTTTCCATAATTAGGATAATAAAATATATATGTCTTCTCTAGAGTAAGTGTTTCAATATTCACAACTTTTTGACGTTAGTATTATTAACTATTTTCCAAGTAGCATGAATCTCAAAATGACAGTCAGGATTTTGTTTTTTTAAAGCTGTGTTTGGCCACAGAACCAGTAAACCAATAACCATAGCTTTCCTTTTTAATTTCAATTCCTTTCCTTTTCCAAAAACTCTAGGGTAGTTTTTGAACACTCTCAACTCATTCTGTGAACTTCCTGAATCCCAGCTGGAACAGAATTCAACTCTGACCACGACCCAGAGTTCACAGGGAACCCACAGGTTAAGGCCTCAGCCCCATGAAGCCACCTCTCTACTCAAATGTCAGTTGTAAATCCTGGCCTCCTGGATTCCTGATGAACTATAATAGGATCCATGCAAGCTTGGTTATTTGCTGCAATGGCTCACAGTACTCGAGAACACGCTTTGCTTTGATTTGCCATTTTATTACAAAGAACACAACACAGGAACAGACAAATAGAGGAGACGCGTAAGGCAAAGTCTGCCCTTTTCTCCAGCAGGCCACCCTGCCAGCACTTCAGTGTATCATCTCCCTGGGAACTCTGTCCTTCAGGGGTTTCTTTTTACAGTATAGGCATGGATGGCCTATAACTATTTTCAGCTTCTCTCTCCCCCCCGATTTTGGGGAGTGGGCCACTTACAGTTTCAGTCTTCTCATCAAGGTTTGGCTTTTCTGGCAACCAACCCCCATCTTGGAGCTACCTAAGGAACTGCCAAGAGTCATCCTATTAAAACAAAAGATGCCCCTCTCACTTAGGAAACCCCAGTGATTTAGAGACTCTGTCAGGAACTACATCAAATATTAGAACACAAGACACTCTTATCACCCCTTCCTTTCAGAAAGGTTTAAGGTTTTATGAGCTCTGTGTCAGGAATCAGAAAGAAACAAATACCAAATGTATATTTCTTATTAAGCCATACACACTTCTATCCCTCCATACAGCTATCTCTATTATAAGTTATAAAACATAAAAAGACAAAGAACAGAAACTGACACAGATGGTAGAGTAGGTGGTTTAAACCTAAAGATTGTGGCAATTCCTTGTTTGTTCATCTGAACACCATTCACCCATTATTTCACTAATAAACATTAATGTTTTGGTACTTTGCCAAGTTAAAAAGATTTATAAACACAGACTCTCTTGTAACATGGGCCATCCATTTGCCTCAGTTCTAGCTAATTTAGGATATTAGCAGAGATCTGTTGGTAGGACTGTTAGAAATGCTACTATATCCCTGATCAAAATGAAGAGAGATGAATTTACCTAACCACGTTTGCTCTCCCTAGAACTTGGAAGCAAAGGATGGCAGTGTAGCGAGGATCTCAGAGGCATATGAATATAAGCCATATGCTAAGGATGTCAGAAAAAGAAAACCAAGAAGGGCCCAGGCCCACGATGCCATCGTACAGAAAGTATCTAGTTTAAGAGGAAAAAATAAAACCTTCATATGTTTAAGACACTGTTTTTTTAGGTTTCCATCACAAGTAATCATAGCCAACTTGGGATTTCTGCTGACAAGACAGATTAATGTTTGACTAACACATAAAAAAAATTTAGAAAATTGTCTCTTGATTTTAAAATCCAAAACACTCCCGGGGCAGTGTATCCAGCAGGGCCCAGGTCACCTGGCTGGGTCCTCAGTCCCACCAGAGTGAGCCAGTCTTCTTCAGTAGACAGCTGGCCCTGATGCACATGGAGGATACAGCAGCCCATTGGGGCCTACAGGGGACATGTGGCACCACAGCAGAGGCAGGAGAACAGAACAAATTGGACAACTACCTCGACCAAAGGATGGCAGCAAGTGTCTGGACAAATGGGGACTCCAAGGTCAACTGTGTCAGTCAATGGACATTGGAAGGACTCCTCATCCTTAGATGGGCGAGATTGCAGCATTACAGAACTATCAAAACTAATTGGGCAGAAACCTCTGCGTGTGCACCACATTGGTAACCTGGGTTAACATTGAGTGGCCATTCCCCATGCCCAGGTCGTTGGGAGGCTGGATATGGCTTCTCCCTTTATCTTCCCCTTTCCGAGAAACAGGAAGAAGAAATAGAAGATTCGGAAATGAAAACCACACCCACTTTTTCCTGACCCTGGATCCCTCCCACCCTAATCAACTATGTAAACATCATCTAAAATAAATTTTAAAAATTAAAAACTACTGTTGTCATACAATTTAAAAAACAAAATCTAAAATCCTGCAGAATATTATTATCCTTAGAACAGCAGAAAAATATATTCCACAACATAAGCCCAAAAAGGCTCATCCTATATTCTATACACTTAACTCAGGATATCAAATAAGAAAATGCTTTGTTTTTTTTTAATTCTTTTATTTTGCTAATCTTTAAATAGTTGATTAGGGCACAAAGGGCCACGGGCTACAGGAAAATTGGTAAGACCTTTGTTTCCACATTTTTTTTTTCTGTATCTGGGGTAAGGGGAGAGAGAAAGGGAAAAGCCGCACCCATCCCAGGTCCCAGTGTGAGGCATGCTCCAAGGGTCCTGCTCAAGCAGTTTTGATAGTTCAACAGTTCAGATTTGTTGCCAGTCTCGCCATTCCACGCATGATGAAATCTGTCCAGAATCCACTTGGGGATCCCTCCAACTAACTGCTGATCTCAGAACCTCAACCATGAAGAGACTGTGCCAGCCAGTGAATTCTAAGGAAATTGTTTTTATTCTAAACTTCACAAAATATGTTCAACAATAAAAGCTAGTGCTAAAAACTTATTTTTCAATGGATTTTTAGCTAAACTGTAATCTAGCTATCTCACAGAAAATACACCCTCATTTTCCTACCTCAATTTTTAACATTTGGTTATCATTATTCGTTTTTTAAGAACCACTTCTGCCAATAACCTGGAAACAAGGAATGTGCACACTTACTTTTGTCGTTGCAATGCTATTGACAAAGCTGATTTGCTGGAATCCTTTTTCACTCAGTGTGAGGCAAACATCCCATCTTTCATTTGCAAGCTCATGGATAACTTTCAGGGCCACTCCAGTTTCATCTAATTTGTCTTTCACATAAAGATCTACATAACTTCGAAACCCATTTACCTGGAAATAGAAAAACCAAACTGAGTTGGCAGTTCTAACAGGTGAATGTCCTTAGGTACTTCTCACACTTCAGTTTCAAACAGCTTTAACTCAATAGATCCAAACCTTCAATAGCTTTTCCCTATTCTGCTTCTGTTGCAGGAATTAGGGAATTGAAATCAGTGGTTAGGAGAAAAATCTCTTTGTTCAAATAAAACTTTTTCACCAAAAAGTTTTTAATGAAAAAAATTAAATCTACAACAAGAAATTAAGAACACTGAAAATGGAAAAAGAAGAATGTAAAATAAAGTCTTTCATTTTATATACACACACACACACACACACACACACACACACACATACATCATTGCTGGAAAAAACTAGTTGCATAAAGCAGTAACAATGTGACTTTTGGAATTTTTTTCTGCCATTATCTTTATAAGTATTTCTTCTGGTTCCTTCTCTTCTGCTTCCCCTTTTAGGATTTACAGCATATGTACAACTCACATGTAAAAAGCAATGTGTGGGAGAATTACCTGGGGCTATCCTGTTCTAAAATCTTATCATTCCACATAAAGTGATAGCAATGCATCCAAGTCATTTACAAAAACATACTTATCATAAATCCTAGGGAAACCACTAAAACAAAGCTTTACAAAGTATAGATAAGACTTAATACAGGAAAAAAAACTGCAAAAATACTCATTTAAAACCACAAAAGGCAAAATAGGTAAGAAACAAAGACTATACTGAACAGATCAGTTAGCTAAATGGTAGATTTAAATCCAAATGTATCAATATTCATTTCAAATATGAATCATCAACATACCAGTTAGAAAGATTAAATTAAATTTAGGATACAGCTGGAATTTGCTTTATCTACAAACAAAAAGGTATCAACTGTTTAAGAGGAAACTTACTGGTAATTTCTTTCCATTAAACATGACCTTGACCCCTTTACACGAACCAGCCAAGTCATACGCTCTTCTGGTCATGAGAGCCACAATATCCTTGTCAAGCTTTTCCATCTTAAATTTCGCTAGATCTGGTTGGAATGTTACACATGTATAATCTTCACCATCAAAATGTTTAATTTTGGCTTCAGAAGTCTTCATCATATTATTCATCCATGTCTAACAGAAAAAAAATTCAAATGTTTCTACAATTTCTCTACATTGTATAAGTCTCAGCTCATGAAATGCATCCATTTACCGAAATTACATCCATCCACTTCCAACCTCACAACAAACCAGTTTTACAGCTGACCTTATATACTGTTAGTAAAATAAATTTCAAATTTAACAAGCTATATAGATTTTTTACAAGAACACTAAGTCACGATGCTTTTTCTGACAAAATTACTTCAGCTCACATAAAATTTCAACCATTTTCAAGAACTTGCAAAAATAAAGTAAAAAAGATTCTGAAAAATGAGTTTGATGATTCAAGGAGGAGTTTGTGTATTTAAGTACAGGAGTTTGTATATGGAACTGAGTACAGGAGTTTAGGACATTTTTAATAATACTTTGTTTCACTGAGCTAAAGAAGTCTGCTTTTAAGCATTTTTAAAAGAAATGATGCTTCTGTAAGATCTCCTGGACATTGATTTCTCCCTATTCTGCAGGCCTACTTCATCCTCACAAAAAAGGTGGGTAGGACATGACAGTTAAAACTGCAATTTACCCAAGAATCCATTAGCGCAACAGAACAGTTTTTAAAAGTTTTACCTGCTTAAAACTGTGTTTATATTCTTTGCAAGCTGTTTCTACTGTGAACTTTGTACTAAAAATATTACAAAGTTTTGCACCATAACCATTCCGACCACCTGTAAGAAAATAGTGAAAGCTTTAGTGAAATCATTCAAAAATCTTTTCTAAATTACCTGCCACAAAGCAAGTCTGCTGCCAAAACAGATGCCCTTACTACATATTAATCAACTAAATGTTCTAAAGTATACTTAGGTTTTCCATTTAAAGTAAAATATAACAGATTGCACAGGTATAGTAATATAATAAAAGTATTTTGTAAATTTATACTTTCATCACAACTTCAAAAAGTATTAAGTTTGGTAACCTCTACACCACAGTATATCTATAGGAGTATGAAATCTGAACTTCCTAACAAAGTCACTTTTCTCTCTCCACATCACACACAAAGCTTTAGTGCCAAAAAGACACTAACGACTTACGCAGGCAAGGTAAACAAACAGGAAAACCCCAGGTTGAGTCAAAGCACTTTGCTACTCAGTCTAAATTTTCAATCCTGTTCTGTAGACGAGCACAGTTTAAAAGTAATTCAATATCAAAATAGTTTATGTCATAATAAATAAATACAAACACAGTAGTCTCATCTAAATCAAAACTTTAAACTGTCAATGTTCCAGCAATCCTAACATAAAAACTACTGAATTATCAGACTTAAAAAATCGCTTGGAGATGAGTGATACGGCTTAGTGGGCAAAGCTACTGCCTGTAGCACTAGCATTCCATAGGGAAGACTCCACTGCTTTACTTCTGACCCAGTTCCTTGTTAATGTGCCTGGTAAAGCTGCGGAATCCGCCCAAATATCTGGGCCCCTGTTGTCCACATGAGAGCCTTAGAAGCAGCTCCTGGCTCCTTTCCCAGAGCTGGCCATGGTGGCCATTTGGGAAGAGAACCAGCAGATAGAAGATCTTTCTCTCACTCTCTAACTCTGGCCTTCAAATAAAATAATTTTTTCTAAAGATCCAAAGGTATACGTAAAGATTTATTCATTCATTTACTGGAAAATCAGAATTACGCAGAAAGGAAGACAGATCTTCCATCCACCATTTCACTGCCCTAATGGCCACAACAGCCAGGACTGGCCCCAGCGGAAGCCAGAAGCTTGGTCCAGGTCTCCCACGGGGGAAGGGGCCCAAGCATGTGGAACACCTTCTGCTGTTTTCTTAGACAAATTAGCAGTGAGCGAGAGTGGAAGTGGAGCAGCCAAGACCTGAACCAGTGCCCATGTAAAATGCTGGCACTATAGGCAAAAGCTTAACCTGCCCCTAATATTTTAAAGGCCACATGATACATTTTTATAGATATTAATTCTGAAAAGGATTATCTCATACCAAAAACAAATTTTACCTGTAACTTTTTTCTCATCATCATCATAGTTACTCGATGTTAAGAGATGTCCAAAAATTAAAGCAGGAACATACATTTTCTCTACTTTGTGTTCAACTACTGGAATGCCTTTCCCATTATTCCAAATGCTGATAATGTTAGATTCTCTGTAAATAAGCAGAATTTAAAGCTGAAAATTAAAGACACATGAGTTTCCAAAAATATAAAGTAAACCAGAATAAACATAAGTGATTATAAGGAAGACATCAGTTCTTATCACAGTTGGAAGATATTAATTTGTCAAACAAAAACACCTGATGGGTTCATATATTTCTATTTCTGAGCCATAATTGCATCATTAAGATGTATAAAATTATTATTTTACAAAATTTCTAAAAAATTTCTTGCAGTGTCCTGAAGGAATAAGATTCCGATGCTAATATCCTGGTGCCACTAGCAGACAGACACACACACACACAGTTGAGACAAGTGTTCCAACCTTCCAATGCATGAGGTGTGCTCTTCCTGCTTGAGACCAGCAGTACACCCACCCTCTGGAACTACATTCACATTGAAACACATGTATGGGATTCATCAAATTTTAAATTTTTTCCTCCCCATCACATCAATACAGAAAGAAAAGCAGAAAATAGCCTGAAGTGTTTACCATTTTTAGTCTAAATATTTAAAGTTATTTGTGTTGTGTCAAACAGTGTTATAAAATACTTTTAAAATGTGTAAATAGTATCTAATTTATGTTTTTCAGAGTTTGGGGTTAGTTTGAACCCTGGATTGTAAACAGCAGAGGCTCCTACAGGTAACAGCAACTCAATATAGCCAGTAATCCAGATGAAAAATTTTATCTACCCATACTGTTTAATTATGTTTAACTTTAGATTTTATCCTTTCAGAGAAAAATTTACAGAAACAGTTTAACTCTTGAGGACTAAATTTTGCCAATGTTTCACAATTTGTTAGTTCTTTAAGATTTATTTTTATTTTAATTGGAAAATCAGATTTACAGAGAGAGAGAGAGAGATCTTCCATCTGCTGGTTTACTTTCCAAGTGGCCCCAGGCTGAGTCAGTATGAGTCAGGAGCTTCATGTGGGGTCTGAATGCTCAGGTGGAGCAACTGCGCCTTAAATCATGGTCCTTGTGAAATACAGACTTTGCAGGTACTGACTTAATCCCACTACAAAGCAATGCTGGTTCATCAAGTGGCACAACTGCTGAGCTAAATTCCTGACCTATCTGGCCCAATTTTACCCAACTTTCAAGTTCAGTACATTACTTCAATTCTCCATTAAGTCTTTAACATTATTATCCAATTCTCTTTAAAGTGCTCTAAAAATGTAATTTAAAAAAAAAAAAAAAAACTAGGATCGGGCCCTGAATCGAAGCCTAGAGGCTAAAGTCCTCGCTTTGCACATGCTGGGATCCCATGTGGGTGCTGGTTTGTGTCCTGGCGGGACTGCTTCCTATCCAGCTCCCTGCTTGTGGCCTGGGAAAGCAGTCAAGGTTGGCCCAAAGCCTTGGGACCCTCACCTGTATGGGACACCTCAAGAAGGCCTAGGGTTCCTGGCTTCAAATCAACTCAGCTCTGGCCATTGAGGCCACTTGGGGAGTGAATCAGCAGATGGAAGATCTTCCTCTCTGTCTCTTTCTCTCTGTATGTTTGACTTTCCAATAAAAATAAATACATCTTAAAAAAAAAAAAAAGAAAAACTAGATTTATTGGAGAATCTCATGAGATAATCAGGTTACCACGCTGCAAATTTTGAAGAGTTGCCCAAACTCTGCCTGGTAGTTCTGCTAACCTATTCCAATACCTTTTACAATACTACTGGGGAAAGTAAAGGGGGCTGCATTAAGCTACCAATTGCAATTCCCTACTCAAGTACCAGCAGTTCCAACCAGTTTCCTGCTAATGTGTGCTAGAAGGCACCAGAGGACTGCCCACAGGCTTTGGGCTTCGGCTACCCAGGTGAGAGGCCACGGTAGAGTGTGTGCTTTTCCTGGCTTTAGCCCGCCCCTGCTTTGGCTGTTGAAACCATTGAGCCAGCAGATGAAACACGTGTCTGTCTCTCCTGCTCTGCTTTTTAATTAAGAGCTAAGCCGTATCATACGCTATAATTAGACCATTAGCTATTAGAACCCACAAAAATTTCAGGGGCATACTAGTAAGAACAGGAAAAATTTTACAACCATATTTCTCATTTAAAACTTTTGTTTTTAACTTTCACCTTCTCATAAAAATCATCATAGTGTGATCTACTTGGGTAAGGCCCTGGTATATGTTCTGTAATATCAGAAAAAAAACTAATTTAAGTCACAATACAAACAATGGAAAAGTTCAAATGCCAGTCATGAAAAAAGTATAGAATATAGCTGGAACAACACTAATAATAATCCTCAGAGTCCCAAAGTAAGGGTAAGACAGAGCTGAACTAATGTTCGCTGCATCAACAAAAAATGGTCTCCAAGAGCTCCCAGTGGGAAGTCCATTGGCGGGAGGGGATACATGTTAGACAAAGGAGAGGTAAAGATAATACAGTCTCAAGCAACAGGGACAAAGGAGTGCTAACCACATGAATTACACATATAAAAAACATTCCTAAGTTGAAGGCAACTTGAAAAAAACTTTCAGATATTTAAAAATTTGAAATATACTTACGGGTCAATTGAAACTTTAATACAGGTCATATTCTTATCCCTCTGTTTATTGTCAGCCGCATTAACTACAAAAATAAATGTCTTAATTTGTAATGAAAGATGCAAAACTAAATACACATATTCAACTGTATGTGCAACATTTGCATATGACAACCTGGTCAAGGTAATACTTTCCTTTGATATCCATCAATAAACAAGTGATTTCTACAGGTTAGACTGAACCGCAACGTAACATTTTTTTAATTACACAAAGACAGATTTTCGAGAATCAAAACTTTAAATCCTATGTACTATAGCTGGTAATTAAAGCATTTCTGCGTTCATAAAGCACTCCTCAGGTAATCTGAGTACTAGCTGAACTCCATTCATATAAATAATACACTCCTGACAAACACTGTGTAATTAATCTGGAACTGTGGAAACCAGGTGGATAGTTGGGAAGCAAGAATGAAAATACAAACTGATCAGTTTTACTCTGCCTCCCTTTCCCCAAAGACCAGCAAGCATCTCAGAGAACCGTGCACAACCTCGTTGTACCCAATTAGGCATTATACAACACTGCACTTTCACACAGACCTGGAAGGGACAGGGATCACTTCAGAGTGGCTACTGCCCAACAGAAACATCCGACTTGCTGGTGCGAAACACAAATGTGCATGTTCCACTTCCAGCAACTGAATGTGTAACTCCCTCCCCACCTAACTGGGATGCCAGAAAACCCCAGTCAGCTACACACAGGATGACAGACCAACTGTGGCATTACAACTAAAAAACACTCATCTTACAAATGGACAAACTGAAGCACAGAGATATGAAACACAGAGATAGGAAAGAAATAGAGCTACAGATAAAAATTTCCTAAGAAACATATTCAACATGAAAGCCAAAGATTAACTTTTAAAATTCACCTTATTATATAACTGTGGCTTTATAAATACTAGGAAATTTTGATAATGCTAATAGGTTAAAAAGTACATATATGCTAAATCCTGAGTAAGCACTCACCCAAAATTTCATCAAAGATCTTGTATAAACCTGGCACAAAGGTAACCTCTCTGCAGTTCATGCCCACATCTTCATCATACACCCACATTAACTGCAAAGAGAAAAAAATCCAAAAACATGCTTTATTTTGTAAGATTAAGTCACTGCATTTGCATATATTCTAGAACATAACACTATTAAAGTAAACCACTAGAACTTTTCTTAAACAGTTTATATAGAACCATTTTACTCTACTTTCTCCTGATACTTTACTTTGAGACAAAAATGAAGACATTTCTATTTTTGCTTGATTTTTCTACCTACTTTAATCATGATCATACAGAGGTGAAATCATGAACTTATAAGGCATCGTCTCACAATGGCCTTGTTAAAGTAAATATGCACACATCCTAATCTCGGTCAATTTTAGCAAAAAAAAAAAAATTACCTGTGTCAAAGGCTCCACTGACCCGATGTATGTGTCAGGACGAAGGAGAATATGTTCAAGCTGTGTCTTCTTCTGATAAATTCTTTCAACAGACAGCTTCTTGGAAGTATCATTTTTGTTTGCAGTTTCTGATTCTTCTTTTTTTGCAGCATTATTCTGATCAAAAAGAGTCTAAAATTAACCAAAAGATCAAATTTAAATAACCTAACAAGGGGTAAGCTAAAATGTGTACGGACACATGACAGGGATGTTTCTTTTTAAATGGCAAGACCTATTTCAGACTCAGTGAGTCTTAAGCCCTACAGAACAAAGGGGCACTGCCCAGCAACCTGGTTCTGCAGTTCCCCCCGAGTCCTGGTGACTAGTCACCCAGGCACCAGAAGCACTAGAGCAGTCTGCATTACTTGATTCAGAAGCATAAACATTTCCCAATTCTGTAAGTTTCCAAGTTCATTATGCGAGCCTCAAAACTTTCTAAGGAAAGTCAGGCATACGGAATCACAATTGAACCTGGCTATCTTTAGCGGTCCCAAAATCTTTCAAATGGAGATACCACATCATTAACCAAGACTAGTAAAGGGTGAACAAAAACAGATAGCTTAATATTCTGTGTAGGCTAACACACACTGAAAATACTATGGTCTCAATCCTTGAATTTTCCTCATCTCCAGATCCCGTCAGATCCAGCTCTGAGAGTCCCGATTCTGAAACAGCTTACAAACTCAAGTTTCCACACCACTTCCACAGAAGCAGAGTGCAGTGACCCCAACTCAAGCCATCACACAACAGATGAGGATCACCAAACTTCTGAGATCACGATTTGCCTGTTTCTAACAGCCACAGAGAACAACCCTCCTTCTGGACAGGGCTGCCAAATAGATGGCCCACTAAACAAGGGTATTATAGTGGCTTATTTTTTTCCAAAGAATAATTCAAACAATAAGAATTGAGGTATTTCCATAGGCCCTTGAACATTAGTAAAAATAAAACACATAGAAGACATGGCAGTAGATATAATTTGGTCAATTAGTCTGTAATATCAGTTCAGTTTCTAGACATAAGCATACATTTCATGTTATTATTTTAAATGACACTTTATTTGCCAACTATCAAAACACATGACTTCTGAATAGTCAAGCCAAAACTTGGAACTTACCAACCCCAAGGAAATGCAAGTATTTATAGTAATTCCCAAATATCACTATCTTTACATAAAATTACATGTTTCACAATGATTACAAATAATTGTATGAGGTCTTAAACTATATTCTTACACAGTCTTTCATTTATTAAGTTTATAATACTTAACACTATAATATTAGGAGTCAGCCAAAAGCAACTTTGGGAAGAGGAAACGTATCTCATGAGTTTCAGAAGGTTTGTATGCTCGATTTCTGCCAATGGCTTGATGATGAACAGAAATAATGAATGCTGTTTAAGGCATGAATGGTATTTTTTAAAACACTAAACTCCAAATTTCTATTACATTTCTTTTAAGATGTAACAATTTATAGGGAAAACCATAACAATAACCACTGATTTTTAAAATGGATCCTCAAAACAGAACAAAAACCAAAACAACTAAAATCTCTAGGAAAGTGCTAGAAAATAACACATGCTATAGAATTCAAGGTAACTTTCTACCATAAAGGTAAATCTACAAGTCCAACTATAAAATTAGCATACAAGTTGAAAACATAATCACTATACAAGTAAAATCTTACCCAAGGTATCTCTAAAACCACACCACAAAGAAATTCTGCAAAGATTAGATGCAACCAGAAAAAAAAATTTTTAATAAAATACACACCAATTTACAACCCTTTAGGTGGCTGCTGCATACCAGGGAGCACCAAACCACACTGTAATCCAGGATCCAACCTCCCCAAGCAGCAAGGCACGACTGGGAGAAACATGTCACAACTTCTCCACGACAAGGAAAGAAATGGACTGTACCTCTAAATGACAAGGTAGAAGGAATATTAACCCAAGACCTGAACGCTGCTTATGTAAACCCAAATACTGACAGACACGGGGTACCAGACTTAAGGCCACGCAAACAAAGCCAACCTCAGGATGTTGTCAAGGACCAGAAGTGTAATAGCAGAGGCAGACACCGGGCGGAGCTCCAGTCTCATGGCTTAATTCAGGAGGAGCATTAGGTTGCGGAACAGATACCCAAAACATCTATGATCTTTGCAGACACAACAAAACCTGTTCACTTAGGAGGCTGCCTGCACCAGCCAGCACACACTTCCCCCAAAAGCTGGCACAGTTTCCACATGCTTTAGCTAGAACTCCACAATGCAGGAATTCCTCATAGGACGAGAAAGGACTCAAAGACAGGAGAGGTAGCTGGGCATTCAAATGCCGACTCCAAAAAGGAAAAGCACAAGGCAAGTAGAAAACTCCAACTATAAAGAACCAACACTATTTCTGGAAATAAACACAATAGCTAAATTGAAGCCAAATTAGAGACCCAACAAGACTTCAAGCAAAACAAAGAGGGGACAATCAGCACATCTGAAAACAACTTTCAAAATTAAAGGCAGATGAGTAAAATGAAAAAAAAAAAAAAAACTGAATAAAGCCAAAAGAACTTAACAGACACCATCAAAGCAATATATATTTTGTAAGTCCCAAAGGAGAAGAAAAACATTAGTAATAAAGAGCTTTTTCGAAGAAACAATGGCTAAAAACTTACCAACTCTTAGAAAAAAGATACCTACTTGAGTCGCTCAAATAATTCAAGAAAGGGTAAATCTAATAAACCAATAAATGAGACACATCATAAAGCATCAAAAGTCATAGAAAACAATTCTCTAAGTAGCAAAAAAATAAATAAATAAATAAATCATCCAAAGCAAGGGAATTTCTATTAGATCATTAATTCCTCAGCAGAAATATTATGGGCTATAAGAGAATGGGTTGATACAAAATGCTGAAAGAAAAAGCTGCCAACCATTAACATTACATCCAATGCCCCCTCCCCACCAAAAGAAAACTTCAAAGACTAGACACAGTAAGACTTTTCCAGAAACATAAAAGCCAAGGAAATTCATCACTACTAAATTTGCCCAAAAGCAAATGTTTTAGGGAATCCTTTAAGTTGAAGTAAAAGAACAGTAACAACAAAAAGAGTACAAAGCTAGCAAAACTATGAAATACCTCTGAAAAGGTAAATGCAGAATCTTCCATGTTTAAAATGTAGGCATGCTGACAATTTTAAAAGCAAATACATAACAGGAACTATCAATCTTTAAAGAGATGCAATATAAACAGGTAATTTGTGACAGCAATAAAAGTGTGGGACAGAAGTCACTCTCATACAAGTGACTCAAGAATTCACAATACAGAATAATTTGAAAACAAGAAAAACATACTTCTTAATGTACACAACATTAAAAACTAAGGACGCAAATCAACTTTACAATTAAATGCATTAGAAAAACTATACGCAAAATTAGCAAAAGAAAGGATATAATAATCAAATAATAAATCTAGGAGAAATGGACACATACAATCTACCTAAATTGATCACAGGAAATCTAAATAGACCAACAACGACGAAGTAATAAAGACCTATCCCCAAAAGAAAACCCAGGACTGGAAGGCTTCACTGCTGAATTCTACCAGATTTTGAGGAGAACAAATGCCAATTTTTCTGAAACTACTCAAAAACAACGGCAAAGGGAAGAATTCTACCAAAATCCTTCTATACGGCAGGATCACCTTAAGTCCAAAACCAGAAAAAGACACAAGAAAAAGAACCATAGTCCAAACTCCCCGATGAACATAGCCTCAAAAATGCTCAAATAAACATTAGCTATAAGAATCAATACAACATCAAAAAAATCATTAAGTGAAATTTACCCATGATGTGCAGGGACGGTTCAACATACACAAATCAAATGTGATACATCACACTAGTGAGCTGAAGAATAAAAAGCTTGGAATTATCCCAATAGTTGCAAACCAAGAAAAAAAAGCATGATAAAATATAATACCATTTCAGGATAAAAACCTTAAGTAAAATACATACAGAAGACACATTCCTTAACACAAGCAAGGCAATATATGAAAAATCCACAGCACGTGGAATGAGGAGAAGTACAAGACATTTCCACTATAGTTTGGAACCAAACAAGAAAGCCCATTTCACCGCTGCTATCAATAGAATTCAGGAAGTTTTCGCCAGACACATTAGGGGATACAAAATGGAATATCAAGCTACCCCTGTTTGTAAAGGTTAAGATTCTCCAGGTAGATAAACCCAAAGACTACTAAGAGAAAATGGGAACTCAGCAAAGTTTGGTGAAATTGCAGGCTGTAAGAACACACGACGTGATGGCCTAGTGACTACGTCCTCGCCCTGCATCTAGCGGAACCCCCTATGTACACCAGTTTGTGTCCCGGCTGCTCCACTTCCCATCCAGATCCCTGCTTGTTGCCTGGAAAAGTGGTAGAGGATTGCTCAACCCTGCACCCACGTGGGAGAGCAGGAGGAAAGCTCCTGGCTCTGGATTGACTCAGCTCTGGCAGTTGCCACCACTTGGGAAGTGAACCAGTGAACAGAGACACTCCCTGCGCCTCCTTCTCTCTGTAGATCTGCCTTTCCAATTAAATAAACAAGTAAATAAATCTTTAGACACACACACAAATCAATGAACTTTGTATACAGAAATAATGCCATGACTGATGAAGAATAAGATAAGTCCCATTCACAACAGCTGCAAAAAAAATGTAAGTACACTGGAATAAATTTAACAAAGAATGTGACAGATGCCTATGATGAAAGTTATAAATGTCCTTTTCACCGAAAGCAATTACAGATTCAATGTGACCCCAATCACAATACTTACATTCTTCTCAGATCTAGGAAAAATTCTAAAATTCATATGGAAATATAGGAGATCTGAATAGCTAAGCAGTCTAAACAACATAAACCAAGCTGAGGCATCACAATACCAGACTTCAGGATTTATTACACGGCAGTTGTAATTAAAACAGCCTAGTGCCTCCCTACCTATTAGGGAAATGCAAATAAAAACCACACTGAGGTTCCATCTTAACTCCAGTAACAGTGGCCTACATACAAAATCTAGTGACTGATGGTGAGAATGTGGGAAAAGGAACTCTACTCCACCGTGCCTGAGTGTGTAGCAGTGTGG